AGTTTAATAATAAAACAATTTATTTTTGGTTTAATATTATAAATTTTATAAAGATAATAATTAAGTATTCTGTTAGAATTTAATGATTATACTAATTATATTTTAGATTTTTTATATTTAAAATGAGATGTTTATCATGTATTTGATTGTGTTTATCTGCAGTTGGTTACACGAATTCAAATATGAGATGAAATCGGATATGGATGAACGAGTTTAAGAGTTTTAGCGAAATGCTTTATAAGATAGTGTGTGTATATATATATATATATATATATATATATATATATATAATGCTATATTATTTTACAAGTTATAGTATATATTAATATGTGAAAGACTGTGTGAGAATGAGAGTTAAGAAGGAAGAGTAAGAAGGGATATAGACCCTTGATCATATTTAATCTCAAACTCACCCATGAATCGTGTTTAATACGATGACTGATCCGATACATCTTGGTACAAATCATCCTAATGTACATCTAAGGATGAAGATAACCTTTTATGTTTCTCATTTTTACTTTCTTTCACACCGGAACCAACCCTGTATTAATACATGTAATTAATATTTAATATTCTATATACATTATAATTTAAAAATTATATATATATATATATATAAACAAATTATATACAAATAGTGTATTATATTATAATATATATATATAATAAAATATAAATATTATTATATATATATGAATAAAATATAGAGTAAATTACATATTTTTGCCCCCATGGTTTTTAAAAAACTGTGAATTTTATTCCTATGGTTTTGAAATTACATTTTTAATTCTTATGATTTTGTAATTTATTTTATTTTTCATTCTGAAGCTAAACACTACTTATAAGTATGAGAAACAAAAATAAAAATAAAATATAAACCATAGAGACGAAAAGAGCAATAAATTTTAAATCTTAGGGATGAAAATAATGACAATGGATTATAAACTATGAAGATGAAAATCATAATTTCAGGAACGAAAATAGAATTTTTCAACAAACCACATGAACTAAAAACATAATTTACTCTAAAATAATTAATTTTAGGGGGTGTTCGGGATTGCTTATTTAAAACAACTTATCCTTTTTTGTAAAAGTGCTTATTAACTTATGTGGTATTAAATCGAAGTTTTGTAAAAAGTGTTTGAATTAGCTTATAGCGGTGTCAAAAAGCAATAAACTGATAAATTATTTTTTAGTGGTAGACAAATTTTGCTTATATATGTAAAATGACCAAAAAAGACAGTCTTTCGTATAATAATATTTTTGATTATTAACTTATTTGATTTTTTAACATGTAATTTTTTTTTCCCATCATTTATAATAATATTTTTGACAAAACTTTATATCAATAAGATTAATAATTAACAAATATTAATAAAACATGGTTAAAATGGTAAACTGATAATAAACAGTTTTTCATAAGTCAGGAATGATTATCTTATAAAAAACTGCTTATTACCGGTTTGACACCTGTATAAGCAGTTTTATTTTTCCTCATTCAAACACCAACATTTAGCTTATCACCGGTACCAGACTGAAATAAGTCAAAAAAACACCTAAAATAAGCAATCCCAAACACCCCCTTAGATTTTGTTATGTTCGGAAGGTAAAATAGTTTTATGTTTTTGTTGGATTAATTTGTTATGTTCCTTCAACTTTGTGAGAAACAAAAAGTTAAAAGGACCAAACCTGCATAAAGTTGATAGTTGAAGGAGAATATTTGTAATTTTCTCCTCAATCCATCCTCGCTAAAATTAGAGATAATAATTGAAGGAACAACTGCAAACCATAAAAAAGTATATATATATATATATATGTCATATATGTGTGTATGCGTGTGTATATATATATAGAGAGAGAGAGAGAGAGAGAATATTTGTAATTGACTCTAAAGTAATCATCGATCCATCTGAATTGTTGAGCGGTGTTCAAAGTTTCATCCCAAAGTCCCATTCTTGCTACCGATCCTTCTCCTTATCACTGTCTCATTGAATGAAGTAGGGATCGTTTTTCATGTCTCCGGCACCGGCGACAATCTCACGGCAGCCTAATGCAACTTGACGCAAATTGGTCAAATTTCGTGCACTCGATCCTTTACTTTTAAATACTTGGGCTTTTATTTTCAGATAGAGAGGGAGAAGCAACGGCTACATCCGATTGATTCTGTGCTCTTGCAACCAAAACCCTAAATCCAAGAATTAGGCATTTGTTTGGTACGTACGCTGTTTCATTGTTGATCCTCTTTTTACACAATCATAGAGAAAACTTAAGCTTACTGCTATCTTACAAGTACTAATTTCTGGTGTTGAGTGTGGTACTAGTATCATTTTCCGGTGAAAGAAATTAAGAATAGCTGCACTTTGTTTTTGAATGTTAAACACAGTTCTCTTCGAAAGCAATATTGATATAAATCTTGTCGTAAATCAAACGTCAATGCTATTCTATTGTACTATTTATATGGCGAAATTTTCTTGGACCAATTAAAACTCCCTATCAATATTGAAGCTGCAAAACCTAAAAAGCATGGCGTCAGTTTTGAAGTTCAAAGCCTAGGAACCACGGAATTTGGAAGTTAATTGGACTAGGTTACCAGGACCAGGTTAATGAGTTTGATATTCTCAAAAGTACTAAAATGTGTGGCATATTGACATACATACATATGTATGTCAATAAAGAAAACTCAAGGAAGTATTATATAAAAGTATTTGAACTCGTCCAAAGTATTTGCTGGGACTTGTATATTTGAACTAGAAAATGGAGACGAAAGATGAGAGAAGAAAAACCATCAAAACCCTAATTACTTGGAGAGCCTCAATGTGAATATATATATTTTTTCGTAATTATATCTATAAGATGTCTAAGTGTTTTAAGCCTTTGTGTCTTTTTCTGGTCATGGAAGCATTTGGAATACTTGAAACCAGAACCGAAAACGTAAAATTGAAAACACTTCAGAAAACCAAGCCAAGCTGTATCTTACTTTTCGCCAGGCTGCACTCAGCCTGAAACGGAGCCTCATCCAGTGCATATCCAGCACTATCCAAGCTCTTCCTGTACATATTGCAGAGACGAGTGACTCTCTAACCCTATCCCTTGTATGGGCGCTTTATACATGGAAACTAACTTTTGGACATCTCGAATCAAATTGTTGCTCTTTTCGTGGAGTAGTTGTCTTTTATACACAAATAAGTCATATGCTGTTACATAACTTTTGGACATCTCGAATCAAATTGTAGCTCTTTCCATGGAGTAGTTGTCTTTTATACATAAGTAAGTCATATGCTGTGACAGCAACATGTTTTCACAATCTTTTTGGTGTCACCTAATCTTAAAAAAAGGGTCAAGTTTTATAAAATAGGCTAAATACGCACTACTTAGTTGTAGATTGCTATATGTTTGCCTGTCAAATTTGATGTCTGGTATGTCAAAAACATTACTTGTTTTGCTAACTTAAACTCAAGTATTGGTGGCTGCTAGATTCAACCACTTTTTTGCCCCCTTGAAACTGTTGTTTTAAATGATTTTTCATGAAGAGTGATTCTTCACTATGATGATCATTGGTACCATGCAAGTATGTGGTATTTATAGGTTTTAATGCTTTGTAACGAGTTATCTTTTGGGAGTAAACCTGATGTAAGGAATGATTGATTGCGTTATGACTATATGTCTTTCTAAGTTGAGGTTAAGGATGGGAAGGAACTTTCTTCTCTTAAAAGCTCTCTCTTATTATTATTTCTTACTGTCACAAATGTAGTTCTACTTTAGGATTGGAAGTCAGTCAACAAATAGGAGATGGATACGAGTAATTGGAGGCCTACACAGGGTGGAAGTGCCGGTGGTGGTGACTCCTCTATGGAATCTGCTGATTGGAGGTCTCAACTGCAAGCAGATTCACGGCAAAGGATCGTGAACAAGATGTATGTATTTATGTTCATAAAGTTATCATTTTTATATGCTTTAAAATTTGGTTATGTTATGATAACCTGCCTAGAATCTTACTTTAACGACAATGATGATAACTGTTGGGATTTTATTGTTGACTCTGTAGCCTTATGTGAAAAAAATAAAGTCTCCATATTTAAACTCACAAGTGCTAATTGTTAACCGTCTGAAGTGCCAAACTGCCAATATGAACTGGGATTGCTGAAATATATGAATTAATGCATTTTGTGGCTCCATCAGTCTTTTTCTGCTGATGTTAGTTCATCTTATATACTGGGCCATCAAGACATTCGTAATGTGTGCTTTCTCTTTAGGAATTATGAGCAAGCGAAGCACAGTAATGTTGATTCTTCTACTTTTGTTTATTCGTCTAGTTCAAGTGATAATGTTAAGCTTCTGATTGCTAACAGTAACTGGGAATGCTGAAATGGATGGATTAGTGCATTCCGTGGCTCTATTAGTTTTCTTCTAATTGTGCTGATTCATCTTGTATACTGGATCGTCATGACATTCATAATTTGTGATTTCTCTTCAGGAATTATGACCACACAAATAATGTGTCAAAATAGTACACTGTAGAGTTCTAGGGGCTAAAGACGTGATGAGTGAGTTAAGTTAGCTGTCTATTGTTGAGGAAATAAGATGTACATATTGCTTAAACGCTGTGCTATTTCATGGGTGGCCTCATTGACTAGTTTGCTGAGGTGAGGGTGCACACTAAGGTGCTTTATTCTAATTTTGTTGGAGAGGTTTGGATTTGCGATAGCATATCCGAAGTTAATTGTGTGGAAGGTTCTAATGCAGATGTAAAGGGATAAGCTACATTGAATGGGTGCTAGATTTTGTATGCTCTTGTGTTCTTTATTTGGAAAGTCAATGTTGTTTTAGGCTCGGAAAGTCTGCTTAGTTTTTTTTATATAGGAGGTTGAATATGAAATGTTAGTGACAGCTTCACTGGCATCTAAAGTTCCTTATGCTGTACCTGCTTGGATCATGGCGAGTACTTATGCAAGTTCCAATGGTTAATTTGAACCGAACGCCCTGTTAGATTGAACTTAAAACCTCAAGCATAGTATGTGTCCAGTGAACCTCTGTGAACCCTTATTTCCTTAGTCAGCATAACATGTGGGTTTGGTGCAGGAAGTTCTAAATTCCTGTTTCGCACCTAGTTGTATGCTTCAAGTTCTCAGTATGAGGGATTCTGTTTGTTTTCCTTTTTGAACTCAATTCTCCTTTTTTGCTTCTTTTGTATTGCACAAAAGAAACATTTGTTATGTTCTGAAAGTATACCGTTTGATTTTGCTGGTTCCCCACATTTTGATTTGCAAAATCATGCATTCTACCCAAAATATCTGCTATATAGCTACATTATATGACCAACACATGTTGATCTTTCGCAGAATGGATACCTTGAAGAGGCATCTACCGTTCTCTGGACATGAGGGGCTACAGGAACTTAAGAAAATAGCTGTGCGGTTCGAAGAGAAGATTTATACTGCTGCAACAAGCCAGGTTTGTTGTGTGGTCTAGTTGCTGATGTTGTTCTATGTTTGTGTTCCTTATATTATATAAATATTTTTGTAGTTTTGCTTTCGTTTTTCTGGAATGAAGATTTTGCAGAAGTCTTCATATCCAAATGAGCTGAGTACTTCGAAAATAGAACAAGAAAGTGATATCATGTTTGTCAAATGCTGTATGGTACTTTGGGACCTAAATCCTTTCATTTATTTGGTTTGCAGTCTGACTATCTGCGAAAGATATCCTTGAAGATGTTGACTATGGAAACTAGATCACAAAATTCCATGTCAGATGCAATTCAGTCAAACTCTGCTGCTAATAGTGTAAACCCCTCAGATCCAGGTATTTCATAATACACTATTGTTCAATTTGTTCTATAGATATGATTTATGTAGGAATAAGCTGTGAAAGTGTTCTTATAATGCAAGCAGCATGTGAGTTTATTTCCAATACTTTGTTTTTCTCTTTGTGATTGTTTTATGAACTTCTTTGCTGCATAGTTTGTATTCCTTATTTCCTTTGAAACTTCCTTCTTAGCTGTATGGTTTGTATGCTTATTTAGGCATCAAGGGATTTACTGGCTTTACAGTGCCTTGTTCACGGCTTGAGTGGTTTTTCAGCTTCAAATTACTAATTTTTAATTCCTGAAGTTCATGTTACAATTAATCATCTGTTTAAGAAGTGAGATTGTGACCATGCCATTGTATAAGTCGTAAATGGTGGATGGTGGCTTGTCCCTGATTGAAGAGGGGGGGGGGGGGAGGTAATTATGTCTTAGATTCAGAAAGGGGAAAATAGATTGTTCAGGCTTGTGAAGAATGATTAAGAATGTGATCACAGTCTATTTATGAACCTATTTCATATAAAATTGGTCTTCTAACATATGACTTCAAGCTCGGTTGTGATAAGTTAATCTGACTTGAGTTCGTATTCTTCAGGTCAGCATTAGTTCTGATCGAATAGAACCTTAAGTGGGTATGCATGCTCCCTTACAGTCATGTAGAACATCCTGAAGGTCATCAATTTTTTTGTGTTACAAAATTAGAAAAAAATGCAAAAGTAAGGCTTCTAGCTGATACTAAGTAGGTGTACCTCCAATTTTGATATTGGGAAAGTTTTTTGCAGTCAACCCTCCCCAGAAAACATATGCACATCATGCATTATTTTCTCTGAAGGGATTTACCGATTTTAAGATCTTAGATTTTCTATTTATGTTTGTGTTGGCAGTATTCGTATAACTTACACCCAACACTTTTATTTGGTTCTCATGCTGTTGGCCCGTGTATAAACCGTACAATTTTTTTTTTGCTTCAAGTGAAAATTGTATGCTTTTCTGACTACTTGAAACTTCTGAATGTTCTGTCAGGAACAAATCCTTAGATTCAACTTCACTTCCTATTTGCCTAGAATTGTATTTTCGGTATATGATTTCCTTTCCTCATCATATATTTTACTAGAATTTTCCCTATTCTTTGATTGTCCCAATGCATAGGGTCTCAGGTCATGCAGCAAGTGAACAACCAAGGGCAACCCCTTCCTATTTCTGTGCCCTCTAACCATCCTCAACCAGGGCAACAAATGTTGTCACAGAGCATTCACAATAACATTAGTTCAACTGGAATGCAAGGTTCTTCTAGTTTATCATCTGCACTACCACCTGGTAGTGGCTTACCACAATCTACTATGGCAAATGGTGCTGGCCAAAATTCTAGCTTGCAGAACATTCAAAACATGTCTGGGGTTCAACAAAATTCTGTAGGAAATACAATGGGGTCAGGAGTGCCTCCAAATAATTTTGCAAATCAAAGGCAGATACCAGGAAGGCAACAACTTGCTCCCCAACAGCAGCAGCAACAATCTCAAAACAACCATTATCTTTATCAGCAGCAGTTGCATCAAATTGCAAAACAGAAGCTACAGCATAGCAATATCACACCCTCGATGCAGTCACACATTCAACAACAGCAGCAGCAGCAACAGAACTTGCTACAGCCAGGTCATTTGCAATCATCTCAACAATCTGCTATGCAACCCACAATGATGCAGACATCTTCTCTCTCTACAGCTGTTCAAAATCAGCAGCCTGTTGTACCACAATCATCACAACCTYTGATTCAGCACCATCAACAATCAGTCCTAAGACAACAAAGACAGCAGCAACAAGCTCCTATTGCTCACCAGCAGCAAGTACAACCATCACAGGCGCAGCAACAGCAGACTCAGTCACAGCCAAATTCAATGGGACAACAGGCAAATGCTACAAACATGCAACAGAACCAGCTCATTGGACAACAAAATAGTTATTCTGACATGCAGCAGCAAAGGTTGCTAGGCCAGCAAAATAAGCTTTCAAGCGTACAGCAGCCGCAGCAACACTTAATTGGTCAACATAACAATCTTTCTAGTATGCAACAGCAACATATGGTCTCTCAAACTGGTGGTGGATCAGTGCAGCAGCAGCAGTTGCTCGGAACTCAATCTGGTAACTCCAGCATGCAGACTAATCAACATCCAGCGCACATGCTACAATCGAAGATTCCAATTCAACAACAGAATCAGCAGAGCTCAGCTACTTTGTTGCCAACACAAGTTCAACAATCACAACCACAACTACAGCAGCAGGTGATGTCACATATACAATCACAGTCAGGTCAGTTGCAGCAGCAGGTAGGCATGCAACAACAGCCAAATCTGCTGCAACGGGATATGCAACAAAGGCTTCCGACATCAGGTGGCTTTCAGCAGCAAAACGTAATTGATCAGCAGAAACAGCTATTCCAACAACAAAGACCTATGCCAGAGGCTTCATCAAGTAAGGTTTCTATTAGTCATGTTTGTTTTCAAATATGTTCATTTGACAACTCTGTTCTTATAGGAACTTGGTACTCATTTCATTTGACAACTCTGTTCTTATAAGAACTTGGTACTCATCAAGTATTCAAGTGTTTGTCTATCTCGTGTTTATGTTTGTTGGTAATTACTTAACAGTGTCCTTGTATTTTCTAGCTAATGACCAAAAGTTTTACAGATGCCCACGTTTTTTTGGCACTAGCTGTTCAAGATAGGGCTCTTAATATACATGCAATGGTGTTGCATAGCTTTGAATTTAGCACTTGAAAATTCGAACTTTGTAGAAAAGAACTTCTCTGATATGGGGGTTACATGGACTATTTACAGATGCTTATCCCTTCATCCCTTGTATGCTTTCCTGTCTGTCCATGTTGCACAATACCATTTTGCCTTCCGATTTACATGAGGTCAATCTTCAATGATCCATCCTGCCATATTATTTCACAATGCCAAGTAAAGCATATGAAAATTGTGATGTCTTCGCTAGATTTTCAACCTTAGAAATATTTTCTCTGGGAATTTGAAGTACATGACTGTGAACACGTGAATATAGATATATAGATATATAGACATAATACATATATGTGTGTGGGGTCAGGTTCGGGGGAAAACCGGAGAAAATGAAAAATTGAGGAACGCTCTGATAACCGTCCATCTGGACCATATGTACAGGTGCATACAAGTAATTTGTAAACAAAAGTGGGTAAATACTGGTGCAGGTTTGTAGTTGTTGCTGGTGATAACCTTGATTATGCATGTAGTTTTCACATGTATTTGTACTTTTAACACTAATGTCATATGTTCCTTTTGGGGAGATTTCGCTGAGCTAATGCGGTGCAACTTTTAACTCTTCTGTAGCATCATTAGATTCCACAGCTCAGACAGGCAATCCAAATGGCGGAGATTGGCAAGAGGAAGTGTATCAAAAGGTGCTGTATATGAAATTACGTATTTTCCCATTGAAGCACCTGACTCCACAGTTTGCTTTCATGACTGTTGTACTAACGGAGTTTAGTTTTGCTTTTCTTTGCACTGGATTCAAAACATAGAATCTCTATGAGTAAGCACATCATTACTAATGATAAAATACCAATAAAATGTGAAGAATGTGTCTGATTATGTTTTCAGGCTGAATAATAGTAGTAGTAATTAAAATATTTCCATCTTTCAGAATGACTACCTGGTGCTTTATAGTTTCTCTTTATAATATTATACTCCCTCTATCCCAAAATAAATGTCCACATGAAAATGGCACAAAGTCGTAGGAATGTGTAATTATATACTTTTTAGTCAACTAAATGACACTTTTACCCTTAATAATAGAGAGAGATTTTTTTCATTTCACAATTAAGGGTAGAATGGGAAAATTGACACTTACTTTTGAAAATGGACACTTATTTTAGGACAAACTAAAATAGAAATGTGGACACTTATTTTGGGATGGAGGGAGTATAACTCACCATAACTTTTTTTCTTTCTATATTTAGTATTTTTCTCCTTAATTCTAGCACTTATTTGCTGAGGATTGTTTCCTTCTGATTACAAGTAGTCAGACTTTTAATGTCCGACCATTACTTGAAATTTTGAAGTATTAGCACAATTGCTTAACCATCTTTGAAGATTGCTCTTGTTTTGACCAGGCATGGCCATTTTCACTTGTGTTCTGAATGGATTCCCTTTCTTGTATTGTTTGTGATTGCTTTTACATGGTCTGCTGGTGAACTTGTGGCTATGTTGCTTTGTTTGATATTTCTGCGTCTTTAGTAGATGAAACTTGATTACTTTTCAGTCATGGCATTTGCTAGGTGATAGAGGCTAACGTTTATTATATATGTAGAAATTTTTCTTGTTACCATGCTACTGTCTCCATTCTCTTGTTTATACAATCTTTATGCAATTTAATTCTGTCCCATTTTCTAATAGTGTTGATGTTATGATAAGCAACTAAAGTGAATGTATTTCTGATATACTTTCTATTGACTTGTGAGTGGGAGTATAAATCGTTTCTCATTATAGGCTTGAGAACCTGAAGTTATTTTTTTCTGATTACAGATAAAAGCTATGAAGGATCTGTATCTACTAGATTTGCATGACATGCACCAGAAAATCCTCGGAAAGTTGCAGCAGGTAAGTTAGTGGCTTGTATACATGTATTTAATGTTTTGCACCCCCGTTGTGCTTTTCACTTGTTAAGGGGACTAAGCTGGGTCTCAGAGGTCCTTGATGAGTTGAAATACAAAGAATAAAAGTGATTAGCATCATTCCAGAACTGTGTTCGGTTCTGTATCCCCCTCATTTCTGCTTGATGATGATGATAAACAGTTTTGATTGGGCTCTTTTATGGAAATCAGATGAAAATTGGAATTCTTTTTAGTTTAAAAACATGTGGATTCAAATTAAATATAATTTGTTGCATTGCAAAAGTTTAGTGCCAATGGCACTCGTCCATTTCTCAATTTAACGGAAGCCTTTCTTGTCCAGCACGATTCTCTTCCTCAGCAACCAAAGAATGAGCAACTTGAGAAGCTGAAAGTATTTAAAAATATGTTGGAGCGTTTCATGGCGTTCTTACAAATCCCTAAGCACAATATATTGGCTAATTATAAAGACAAGCTGGGTACTTATGAGAAGCAGATTGTAAATGTCATTAACTCAAATAGGCGGAAACCTGCAGCCACACAGCAGCAAACACAAACACTACCTCCGTCTCACCTGCCTTCTGTGCAGCAATCACAACAGACGCATTCACAATTGACACAAGTGCAACCACATGAAAATCAGATGAATTCCCAAATGCAAACGGTGAATTTACAGGGTTCTATGGCAGCAATGCAACAGAATAATATGGGGAGTTTGCAGCAAAATTCAGTCTCTTCTGTATCAGGAGCTTCAAATGCTCAACAGAACATGATGAGTTCCATACAGCCTAATTCTAATCTCGATTCAGGACAGAATAGTACAATGAACTCATTGCAGCAGGTCAGTGGTGGTTCCCTACAACAAAATGCAGTGAGTGGTCCTCAACAAGGAAACATAAATCCATTGTCATCTCATAGTGGGATGGGTACGCTACAGCAAAACTCTACTATGCTTCAACACCAGCATATAAAACAGCAGGAACAGCTTCTTCAGAACCAGCAACTGAAGCAATTTCAACAGCGCCAAATGCAGCAACAATATCTGCATAAACAGCTGCACCAGCAGCAGCAGCAGCAGCAGCAATTTCATCAGCAAACAAAGCAGCAGCAACAAAGTGGGCCGTTGCAAGGAAACCAACTATCTCAGCTTCATCAGATAAATGATGGCAGTGACTTGAAACTTAGACAGCAGATGACTATGAAGTCGGGTGCTTTTCAGCAACATCATGCAGCAGCCCAGCGTTCAGCTTATCACCAACAATTGAAATCAGGTGCTCCGTTTTCACCTCAACTCCTCCCAGCTGCATCTCCACAAATGTCACAGCATCCATCTCCACAGATTGACCAGCAAAACCTGTTCAACTCCCTCACTAAACCTGGTACACCTTTGCAGTCTGCAAATTCACCATTTGCTGTACCTTCTCCTGCAACTCCCTCTGCTTCTCCTATCCCAGGGGAGTTAATGAGTGGTGTTTCATCACTGTCTAATGGTGGGAACCTTGGACATCAACAACCAACTGCTGCAGTCTTACCTTCTCAATCTCTTGCTATTGGCACACCCGGGATATCGGCCTCGCCTTTACTCGCAGAGTTCACTAGTCCAGATGGAAACCATGGTGTTGTGGCATCAATTGGATCCGGAAAGTCGAGTGTTACAGAACAGCCTCTAGATCGCTTACTCAAAGTGGTCAGTTTGTAAACTGCATTAGTATATGAAATAAGACGAACCCTTTAGGGAGTGTTTTAGATGTCTTTCTCATAAAGTTAAACTGTATGACTAACATCTAGTAATTCTTTTTTGTAGGTAAAGTCGATTTCACCAAAAGCTTTGAGTGCCTCAGTTAGTGACATTGGTTCAGTTGTCAGTATGATTGATAGGATAGCAGGATCAGCACCAGGTAATGGATCGCGGGCTGCCGTTGGTGAGGACTTGGTTGCCATGACAAAATGTCGTCTTCAGGCTAGAACGTTTGTCACTCAAGATGGAAACAACGGAACAAGGAAGATGAAACGCTTTACGAGTGCAATGCCATTAAATGTTGTATCATCTGTTGGTAGCGTGAATGATAGTTTCAAGCAATTGAATTGTGCTGGGACTTCAGAGCTGGATTCAACTGCATCTTCTACAATCAAAAGGCCCCGGATTGAGGTACTATCATTTCAACAGTGCATGTTATCTCAATTTTCTGCTTGATAGATGGAAAAGCGAGAAATGAACCAGGCTGTAGAGAAATGAAGTTATTAGTGGAACATTTCTCAAAGGCTTGATCCAAATCATTTGTTTGATTAAGATATCTTGAATGTTTGAGTGAGAAGAGGGCCATACATACTTGTTAATGGGCGGTCACATAAGGCAAAAAGTTCTTTTCAGGCCCTGATGTTGGTTAATAGTTATTTCACGTAGGTAAAACTTCATTTGTGATTTCATTAGTCATAGTAAAGCTAGCCTCCAAGTTCTATGGAATGATTAGATTTAGCCAACAGGGAGTGAGCCTTGGAGCAACTGATGAGCTTATTCCTTTGTGACTGAAGTCTCAAGGGTTATGGGTTTGAGTCATGGAATCAACTTCTTTGTACAATACAATGGTGCAAGGTGTATCAAGAGTTCCGTCTCCAAGCCTCAAAATCCCATGTAATCTTAGTTTTTTGCATTGTCCTGCATCAAGTTTTAATCAGTGTTCCAGATAGAATGGGCGCTCACCCACTGTGTATTTTCACCAAAGGATCCATGCACCTAGTAAAAGTGTTGGCTTTAAGATTGAATTTCCAATTTGGAAAATTATAATAAAATCCCTTCATACAGGCACATGGGATACCATTAGAGTTGTATTGTGAAGTTCTTACTTGACTTGTGAGGTGCCATGGGATTTGGCTGAGAACATTTCATTAGAAAGAAGCTTGGGGACTGTATCAGGAAATATATTTTCTTTTAACTGTTTTTCTTTACTAAGCTGACCAAATGATAATCCTAGATGGTTTACTAGTGTTAAGAGGGATTTATCTAGTTGTTTGTATTGCACCAACTGTAAAATGTTAATTACCAAACTTGGACTCTGTTAAGACATGCTTAGTATTTAAAATGTGATCCCAATCATGACTCTGGAGTTGGTAGAACATCAAATAAGTGCTCCATATGGTTCTCCATTTGAACATGAGGAATCACATCACTAATATTTTGATTCTTGAGCCCTATTTCAGTTTTTAGCAAAATAATTTAATATGTCCGCATATCTTGATTGGACTTCTGCAGAGAGTTCTTGTTGAACATTGTATGTTCTCTTTTCATTCTATGCAACCTAATATCTGCATAGCATATGCAAAATACGATTTTCTGAGAGATTGCTAAAAAACAAAAACTGTTCTTTTTATGAACCGCATTGATTGAACAATTGAAATAGAAACCAAGTGATAAGGACAGTGTAAGATGCTTCATTTAACAAGGAAAACCAACAAACTAGCATTCGAGAGGCTAGGACTCTCCCGTATAAAATCCACTAATTTTTTGCATGCCTCTCTTACAGACAGACCCACTAATTTATACTACCAGCATCCTAGGATTATTCTAGATTATTGTATAAGGTACTGATGGGCTTGGGCTTAGATCAGTGCATAACAGTCCTCTTTTTTGGCCCCATCTTCATTTCAAGAGAGAAACCCTGAAAATTATCATGTTGCATGTCCATGCAAACTAAAATATTACAATTTGCACATGAATACATTATCTACTCCCAAGTAAGTGTCATCAAATTCTTCGAACCTAGGGCATAGGATGATAACCCAAGTATGGAATCCATCCTCTAGAAGTTCATATGGGCGTAGGGTTCACAAGGAAAGTAGGGTTATATCCTTGACATCCTCATTTTCAGGCAGTCTCATTGATTAAAGACACCACATTTTTTGCTTAAAGATATAGGACACGGAATGGAATTTACAACAATCTTAGAGGAACTTTTTATCCATTTTCCTTTTATGAATCGCCGTTGAATTTATGCTGAAACCCGGGAGCCATTTCGTCAATCTATCTGCTTTATAACTAGTACGACCTCTATACAAAAGATAGTGCCCATATTTCACTTTCTAGTGCCAAATGGGTTACTCCTTTAAATTCAGAAATTAGCTAGAACTGTAATTAGTTAGAATTCTTTTGGTTATAGATCTTAAAATGGCTATTATAAACCACAAGGGTGGTGCCTGATTGGTTTGAGCTTGGCTCCAAAGGTCAAAAGTACCAAGAGGTCCCAGGTTCAAATGCAAGGATGAATAAAAATCCCCTTGTGGTCACGGAGGTTCAAATGCGGTGAATCCGGGCTATTTGCAAAGCAGGTGGTTGACCTGGGATTAGTCGGCTCGCATAGCAGGTTGGATATCCAGGTTAATAAAAAAATGGCTATTATATTAAACTACATCGTGTTGTACTTGAAAGATATTTTGAATCTAAAAAGCAAAATGCATTATGTGAAGTTTGAACTTGATAATGTTTGAATTTTCAATTGAAATGGTAAACTCTCTTCCGGAGGCAGAGAAAGTATTTTCTAACAATTTTCAGTGTATCTTTTTTAATATATTACTAATACCGATTACTAGCCAACTAACTTGTTCCCACTGACCTATTAATCAATGCATCCCATTACGTTTCTTAAAAAGTAACTTGGTATGAAATGCATTTCTAACTATGACTCCTTGAGTTTTTCCTTCTCTCTTGAAGGAATCGACAGAAAACCATAGAGATGCAAATGTAGGATAAAGATAGGGAGAGAAATAGGGTTCAAATAGATGCATGTGGACTATATGGATATTTTATGTCCAGTAGGAACTTGAAGGTAAAAGGTTACAGTATGTTGTTGGAAATGAATCTTAGTCATGAACTTTTTCCCGATGGTGTGGCAAGGCAACACTCTTTGGGTAGAGAATCTCTAGCCTTGAAGTTAATATAGAGCTGCTTAAGGCCCGGGCCTTGCTAGCCCGTTCTTGGTAAACCCAAAAAAGCCTGTGTTTTCTGGGCCCGTGGGTCTGGTCTGGGCTTTGGGGTTGGAAGAAGGCCCGATTTGGCTTTAAGGCGGGGTCTAGGCCTAGGCTCGGGCTTATTAGGGCCAGGCCTTGGGCTTTTTTGTGCATCTCTTGGCACATGTGTGCTTGGTACAAGGACAGAATTTTGCATTGAGAAGAGTTGTGCTAACTTGAATTAAAATGTTGCATCTCGTGTTGCAGACTAATCATGCCCTGTTGGAAGAAATAAAGGAGATAAATCAGGGACTCATAGATACTGTTGTAGATATTAGCGAGGAAGATAATGATCCGGCTGCAGCTTCCGAGGGTGGTGATGGAACCGTTGTTAAATGCTCGTTTTGTGCTGTAGCTCTTGGTCCAAACTTGAAGTCACAATATGCTTCAGCGCAAATGGTGAGGTTTAACTGGACATATCTTATGTTGGTTTTATGCTATGTATATGCAAATTAATTCTATTTTTTCTTCAATGCAGTCACCTATTCAACCATTACGATTGCTTGTTCCTGCAAATTATCCAAATTGTTCCCCAATACTCTTGGATAAGTTTCCTATTGAAGTCAGGTATTTGAAATAATTTCTCCGATTTTGATCTTTGTAAAGCATGTTTCATTTCTCGCACACATTTTCACGAATTGAGGGTTTTGGAATGACAGCAAGGAGTACGAAGATCTATCGGTAAAGACCAAGTCAAGGTTCAGTATCTCTTTGAGAAGCCTTTCACAGCCGATGTCGCTTAAAGAAATTGCAAGAACGTGGGATGTGTGTGCTCGTGCGGTTATATCGGAGTATGCTCAGCAAAGTGGTGGTGGTACCTTCAGCTCTAAATACGGTGTCTGGGAGAACTGCTTAAGTGCTGCATAGTCTTGTTTCTCTTCTTCCTTCTTCGAGACTAAACAAAAGTATTGTTACCCAACCATCCTCCATGCTTTCATTGTACGATATCACCATCACCATCACCATCACCATCATCATCATCATCATCATCACCATCACCATCACCATCACTATCACCATCATCATCATCATCATCATCATCACCATCACCATCATCATCATCATCATCACCACCATCATCATCACCATCATCACCATCATCAACATCATAGGTATACATGATAAATAGTTATGTTCCAGAATTTTATCTTGTCGTAAGAAATGCGATACTTCTTTTGGGAAATTTTCATGTTAAGATTGGTTGTAATCTTGTATGGTTGTTGCAACATTTTAATGAAGTTTAAAGGTAACAAGTTTGGCTTTTTGTATTGAATTTGTTTTCCCCAGATCTGTTTTGTAGATTGCATTGGAGCATAGAGATATGATAGAAGATGGAACAGGCTTCTGAACAAAAACTGTGACCTGATTAATACATGTTAAATGTTATCTTCATAAACTTCATCTTCTACATCAAATGGAACATCATATTGTTTTCAGCTTTAAGCTACAGTGCTAGTAAGAGGCCGTTTACCAAATGTTTACTTGGGTAAGCGATTACCAAGTAACATTACCTTACCGGATGAATATTGTAAGGATCAGGAATCTTACACGGTAAGAGTGTGACAAGGAACAAGAGTTTTACCCAGTAAGTAAAGGCGACGACTCTTATCACGGTAAGCGCTTACCGGGTATTTTGTTGCATATGATGTCGTTTTGGTGGACTAAAATTTTACCCAGTAAGTAAATAATAGTGTTAAATTTTATCCGTAAACATTTGCGGGTTAAGTGTTTGGTAAACGGCACCTAAATCATGGATCATGGCGGTCAAAATCGAAGATTGTGGTTTTTTTTCCACCATACAAAGATTTTTCAAACTTATCTACACAACATAATAATTTTTTTTATTAACCTGGATATCCAACCCGCTATGCGAGCCGACTAATCCCAAGGTGATCACCTGTTTTGCAGATAGTCTGGAGTCACCGTATTTGAACTTCCGTGGCCACAAGGGGATTTTTATTCCTCCTTGGATTTGAACCCGAGACCTTTAGGTACTTTCGACCTTTGGAGTCAAAGCTCAAACTAACCAGACACAACACTTGTGGAACATTTAAACTTGCAACGTTAAGTTTATAACATAAGCAACACAAAGGGTATGGAGAAAAAAAGAGGGCTCATATTTTTAATACATGTCATATTGTTGGGGGTGCCATTTGAAATATGGAAATACTTTATTTGACAAAATAAAAACTTCAATAACGTTTTTAGCAATTTATATAATCTGTGTTCAAGCGTTGCATACTGAACATTTCAAACACATTTGTACGTTTTTTTTTTTATTAACCTGGATATCCAACCCGCTATGCGAGCCGACTAATCCCAAAACGACCACCTGCTTTGCAGATAGCCCAAAGTCACCGCATTTGAACCTCCGTGACCATAAGGAGATTTTTATTCCTCATTGTATTTGAACCTGAGACCTCCTGATACTTTTGATCTTTGAAGTCAAGCTCAAATCAATCAGATTTTTGTAATGAATCAATCAAATGACACGTTACACAAAGATACAATTATGGTCAATAGTGTGAAGGGCTCCAACTTCACAAGTTAAAAGCGACACAGTTTAGCAAAGTTCGAAAATAACGATTGCATTCCCGTTTTTCCACATTCTAAATGCACCTCTTCTAAGAGCAGAATGTCTTGTTAGCATCTCGTGTGAAGTGATATTTGGAAGTGACCGATTTGTGTTCCGAGACAAATTCATAACGGGCTTCATTGCGATACAAGATTATCTCACACGTCGTTTCAACATGAAATATCCCTCTACCGTAAAAAATCGAAACACGAAACAATATCGAATTATTGCACTTCGAGAATGGTTGTAGAAATTTGCTTTAAAAAGGGCAATGGTTTTGAAAATGAGAGTGCAAGCACCACATTCACACTTCAAAAAACATATGTTCCAACTTGTTAACCTTAAAGATGTTTTCCAGAAACTAAGAGGACCAACAACGTTGTGCTATACACGAAATGCTATAAAACCATGTTCGATAGCACCAACTCCGCCAAAGATGTGTCTGCTTTCGGCTCCTGCCAACAGACACTTCCGAATGGCAGTTCAGAACACTTGCATTCCTTCGCTTTATAATCGTATGAAAAAATATAACTAACTTCCCAATATCCAAAATTACATTTCCGCAGTAATTAGAAATCTAACGACCAAAATCGATACAACTGATAAATTGTGATGACGACAATAAGCTTGAAATTGTTTGCCAATGTGAAACTTGTGGGCTCTTTTTATGGTAGCAAGACTTGGTGTATATGGAAAACAAGCATGAACCTGATCCGTACGTTCCTCAGATCAACTTAGAAAAATGACGTTCACATGAAAGGTTCTCTCAAGGCTGTAGGTAAGTTTAGCTCGGGCTCTGAATCGGGAAGTTGAGCAAAATAGCAGTCAACCATGTCTTTGGTTACTGCTTCCAAACTCGGAGTATCCCACTGCCAATATCAAGAAAGAGAATAAAATTAGCAAACTAGTTCATAAGCTTCTTGTTAGCTAGAAAGCTACACGTTGGCTAAAAAGGCAGCTAGCTGTTCGCTGGAAAGTTAGGAGCCGTTTACTAAACGCTTACCCGGTAAGTACTTATCGGGTAATTTTCTTCATCGGATGAACATGGCAAGGGCCAAGAATCTTACCCGGTAAGAGTGATGATAAGGATGGATAGTCTTACTCGGTAAGTGAGGGTGTCGACTCTTACTCGGGTAAGCGCTTACCAGGTAAATTGTTGCATAGGATATGTTTTGATGTACTACAATCTTACCCAGTAAAATAAATTATAGTGTTGACTCCTAACAGTAAGCACTTCCTGTGTAAGCATTTAGATAAACGGCCCCTTAGATGTTGGCTAATACGCTAGCTGTTAGCTGGAAAGTTAGATGTTGGCTAATAAGCTAGTTGTTGGCTAATAAACCTGTCACGTTTGTAAAAACTAGCTGATAAGCTAGATGGCAGTTTAACATGACCGAAAAAGCTAGGGTTTTTGGTCGTTTATAAGGGGCATAATTGGGAAAAATGAAAAAAAAACCTGGAGTTTGTTGTGACTCTACTTGAGGTAGCTTGTCAAAAAGCTAGCTTATAACTTGCCAAACAGGGTTTTCTCTCAAAAAATAAGCCACAAATTTCCAAATTTGGGAATCATAATAAAGAAGACAAAGGGGTACCTTGGGAGCAAAGTCCTTGTCAACTAGTCTTGCTCGAATACCCTACAAGTGGAAGTGAGAAAGTTCGATTAAGCTGCATTGCACAAACGTATATATGTTTGTTTTGATAAAAGTATCCTCTTGTTCGTTCCTTCGTACCTCACACAAGTCTCCAGAGACCTGTTTGGAGATGAAACACAATGATGTAGAATATTCACGAGCCAGACATTGATCGAGAGGTTGGAATCTCCCTTCCCTTATCTGCATTTGATCACTATTAAGTTGCATGCTTTGTTTGGTTTGGTGGTGAAAGAAGGTGAATTGTTAGAAATGAACTTACGGATTGCAAAGTGATCTTTAAGCTCAAAGGGGAGGCTTCCCTCATTTTCTTAAGAGCGGTCGAACACAATGCATCAGTAGCTTCTGATGCTGTCTGCACATTTATGCAACAATGTAAAATGATTGCTTATTTTCAACACTAAAATCAACTTAAGCTAATTGCATCCCAGGATATATATATATATATATATATATATATATATATATATAKAGAGAGAGAGAGAGAGAGAGAGAGAACTTACTAAAGCATCCACAATTTCCTCAACAGTGTCGTGGCAAAAATATTTATCTATTCTTTCAATCCTGAAACACCAATCAAAGATAGATGGAACCAATTTACATGGGTATGAACCACAATTTTGATATGGACTAACAAAAGTAATACAAGTTGTCACTTCAATCTTACATTGTCAAGTCATATATACAATGCCTAATTATCGTCAGATTTTACGTTTTTTAATTTTCACCCGATCTTCTGTTTCAACTCTTCCTAAGGCATCAAAATCTCAAAAGGTGTGGCCTAGGAATCAAGGAAAGCAAGCAATCGTGGTTGCATGATATATTCTCGATGTGAAAACAAAAAGAAATATGATTTTGGAACATATAAATCAAAGTACCAGTTTTAAAGATTCAGATGAATACGACTTTTTTACTCGCAAGTCTATTATCATTTATGGAAAAGTAAACGCTATTCCATTTTCTTTATTGTTCTCAAATGATCCTCTGGGGCACGGAGTGATAGCATAGAATGGAGAGTGGAATAAAACATTACTTGTGAAGAACACTGGATTTATCCACGTAAACAAGATCGCCATATTGAGCAAGAGATTCTGATATAACAGAAGGATCATCTGTCATCAATTGACCAAGGCGTTCTTCAACCCACGCAAGTTTCTATAAGAATGAATGCAACATCTTAGCCCCCAATAATTTAATTTTGAACGTATTCATTGAAAGGGAAGTATAAAGTACATACTGCGTTTAGTGAATAGTGAGTAGCAAGGCCGCATGCAACCAGTTCAGCACCATTAAGCCTTGTTCCAGTCAAAGCCAAGAATTCACCTGCAAAATTAAGAACAAGAGAATAAGCTATGTACTTAAGGTCGCCCCTGTGGCTTTAGCCAGAACAAGTGGGAGGTCCTGAGTTCGACTCCAAGCATCATCCACATGACCCCGAGACATGTGATTTACCTCCCCATGATGGTCGAGGGACCAATATGGTGGAGGCTCTCCAGAGGGTGCAGAGGCTCTGACTCCAACAAATGCACCATCAAAGGGCCATTGGGCTAGCGGTATCCAGGTTGCCAAGCCCAGCCTCCCCGGAGATCAGGGGTTCATACCTCAACATAGATAAGGAGGGTGTGTGAGTTCATTATCCGTGTATATATATATATATATATATTAGAGTAAATTACATGCTTGGTCTCTGTGGTTTATAAGTTATAACGCCTCAAGTCCCGTTATTAAAATAATTACCGATTACAGCCATTGTAAAATATAAAGCCTACTAATACACAACCAAATGACAGCCCAAACATCATGCATGCCTGCATAACCTATTGCTTTATCCTCAAAACACATGTTGTCAAATTTTAATCAACTATCTTGAGAGAAAACTGCAGGTTTTAAATTCAAAAATTACCTAAATAACCAGGCAGACGAGAAAGATAAAATGAAGCCCCTGCATCTGGATGGAAGCCCATTTGAACTTCTGGAGTTGCAAAAACCTGCAATTTCAATTCAGATGGTCAATTTAAACGCATCAAAATGTAACTAAATGCTAATAAAAAAAACTTCAAACTAGCCATCTTGAGTAGAAAGTGAAGTATCAAGTGGGTTAACCAATTGCTCCACTATTTACCATGTTCATAGAATTTTATAAACATCATGTCCCCTTATCAGATTTCTGCAATAGGCACCAAAGAAAATCATATTTATTTTGAGTAGTGAATCTATCTGTTACTTTATAGTGTTTCAATTAGAGAGATTCTTTAATTTAGGATTGTTGACTAACACCATCATTTTTGACCAGGTAAGCGTCTCTTACCCAGTAAGATGCAGTAAATCATTAGTTACCCGGTATAAAGCAGTAAGTGTCTAGTATACAACCCCTAAATGTGCCTTAGACACCCCTTGTTGAAGAAAACAAAAGTGAATTTGATCTTGAAAGGTATGATAAGATGATTTGGGAATCTAGAAGGTAGATGGAGGGGTTATTTATTTGGGGGGGCTGCACATGCTTGTGTATGTGTGATATTCTATTGAGAAGAAAGGGGGCAGGTGGGTTTGTAAAAATAAGCCAGCTGCAATTGCTTAAACGACAGCTTAATCAATGAAAATAACTCCAACCAAAATATTTTAATAAAAAAAAAATCCAATTTAATGTATTCTGAATCTCATAAAAACTAGCATAATAAGTGGAGGTAAGAGAGTAATGAGGGAAGAAAAGGTTTAGCTAAATGGAAAGAAAGAAGAGTGTTTGACTAAGAACATGACAGATACAATAAGGTGGAAAAGAAAGAAAAGCGTTCAACCAAAAAGTTAACAACAAACATGATCCTCTACAAAGTCGTGCATATTGTGGCTAACACCTAACGTACTATTTGCAAGGGCTTAATTGAAGCCATATAGTCACTTATGGATGAAAAATGAAACTAAAAAATAATAAGGGACAAAAAGTGCAGTCCAGGACGATTTCTTTTGGTAGCGGTGGGTGGCAGCGCACCTCGAATAATCCCATGCATCCCTGATAATAACAGCCAGACAAATCCCGTGTCTTTGAGGAAACTCGAACTGGCGACCTATGGGGAGGAACCCCAAGGCCTTTGTTTATTTGCCGATTGAGCTGGCCCTCAAGGTTACTCTCCAGGGACAACTTTTTTGTTCATTTATATGGTTATAATATACGATTACAACATTTTCAAGAATGAACCACAAGGGTGGTGGCTGATTGGTTTGAGCTTGGCTCCAAAGGTCAAAAGTACCAGGAGGTCCCAAGTTCAAATCCAAGGAGGAATAAAAATCCCCTTGTGGCCACGGAGGTTCAAATGCGGTGACTCCGGGCTATCTGCAAAGCAGGTGGTCGCACTGGGTTTAGTCGGCTCGCATAGCGGGTTGATATCCAGGTTAATAAAAAAAAAAAACATTTTCAAGAATGCTAAGTTAAATTATTAAAGTTTATAATGAAGAAACGATGATGTAATTTAAAACTTCATGCTGATATTAGCCATTGGTGCCAGGTTGCCAATGATAAACTAAAATCGAACTTAGGTTATGTAAATCAACAGATTTAGTTGAAGATCAATGAAAAAAACATTATGCATCAAGTAGAAGTGCATACAGTCTTGTCAGTTGCAATGCGGAACATTCCAGGAACAGCAACACCTGCACCACCACCCATTGTGATACCATCCATGATAGCCAACTGTTAAATGGTCAATAGTCAATGGCCAATCACCAAGCAACTGTGAAAGAGTATATTAATCTATATCAAACATCATAAACTCGCATTTGCTTTTAGTTATCGTGATTATTATAATTATACTCAACCTTATTCAGTCTCAAATGAAAGAAATGTGTCATCATATGTAAGAAATATGCACATCATGTAATCAAGATTAGAATCGATCGATTATGCATTTTTTGGGAAAATTTAAAGCCATGTATTATGTTATAGAAAATGTAAGCTACATCAGGTATAAGCTAGATTACTTTGTGTATTGTATGAAGCAGGTAGCAGACTCTTAAGATCACTCCTCAATATGGACCAGCTAAGAAAGCAATACCAAAATTCATAGACACGAACGCAAGCATAAGAGGAAGTCTTATAAGACCAGGTTAAAGGTGAAAGGGCATAATAGCTTCCCACATATTACTTGCTACATGAAATAAAAAGGGTTCAGAAGTCATAAGATTCAAATATGGAGAATAATGTATATAAATACGCATGCATACACACAGACACACACACACACATATACATACAGATAGATAAGCCTGACACAAAACTAGAAGTTAGAAAATAGACAAAACAAAGGGTCATAGGGACTGATCATACAACTTGTTCATATTTCATTGCAGTACATTGTTTTGAGATGTAAGCAAAATATGCATCTTACAATTAAACACAATTATACAAATATTATATAGTCTGGAGTTTTACATTATAACTACGATATATAGTGAAAAGGTATGAGAATAATTGTTTTTTTTTTTGGTGGGGGGTACTATTAAAGTATGAAATAACAGCATTCACATAGAAAGAGTAGAGGAAGAGAGAAGAAAGAGAGAACTTTGAGCAGAGGGGAGGAGGCAGAGAAAGAGACAAGAAAACTGGACACTCACATTTGGCTTCAAATATGTTCCCAAATGGTATATAAACCGATAGAACATCCTGAAAAATTCTTTGCATTCTTCAACATTGCCTGTACATATGTCAAGCAGAAATTCAATAAGAAAAACAATAAGTTGATCTATTAGTCTCACATAGGATGCCCATAAAGCAGAAGCTACTTGAACACATAGTACTACAAATCAGAAAGTTTATAGATGCATCTACTTCTAGGATTTGAAAACATTCGGTATTACTTGGGAAACCCTAAAAACACACAAATATATGTATATATGTAACACACTATGAACATATATACATATACATATATATGTAGGTATAAAGATAAAGGCACATAAACAACCATTTGATCCCCATCAAAGCATGCATTGAAGCGCTTACAAACTTATGTTTATAAACAAATAATACACCCATCCATACACACACATATGTCTCTGTGTATACCTCCATACATATAGATGCATATTTGTATGTTTGTACATGCATACATATAGGTAGAAACCCTAATAAACCAACACTGCACAAGCAGTAATGACACTGTTGCAGCTTACATGGTGAGCATATAATGTAAAACATGGGACTCAGCCATTAGTCAAGATGGAAAGTACTAACGTAAAAACAAACAAATGGGCCAAATAAAGAAAACCTTTATAATGTCGTAGAGAAAAAACATATCGAATTGGCATATCACATCAAAGTGTAAATCCTTATTTGAATAATGAAGCTATATCAGCTTTATGTCCATACATATACAGTTCGAAAGGTAAACAAGATAAAAAGTGTACCAACCTTCTTGAAGCAGACGATAGATGGTTACCATATCTGCACCAGAACAAAATGCCCTACCACTACCCTTCAATAAATCCAAATAACATTTAGAGATAAAAACAAAAAGCCCCGCAAAAAAGTGAAATTTTCAGAAAAACATGGAATACCTTCATCATGACAAACCCAATGTGTGAATTGTCCTCCCATGACTCATAAAGTCGTTGTAACCGACCAGCCTACATACAATATTTAAATAACATTACAACATTTTCACATTTCTCGGTGACGGAAATCATCAGAAAACAAGATTCAAATATGGGTCTCTTTTGGATGTAAAACTGTACAATTTTTTTCTCCTATCAGCAATTTTACAAGCTTTTTTGTTATAACAAAGTGTGGCTATTCCCTTATTCAAGAAAAAGAGATGCAATTTGACCTAAATTTCAGCAACAAATAAGTGGCAATTCTTACAATTAACAACAAAAGTTAGAAACTGCACATAAGTTTGCCACAATCTAATTTTGGTCATATCGTCTTCAAATACCTCCTAAATAGTAATGAAAACGTTTATTCTGATCCTACAGAAATATAAATAAGGAAAAATGAAAGGGAAATAGTAGAAAACCATAGACGTAGTGATAGCATTGAGCTGAGATGGCCTGTTAAGTATGGCAGCTCTCGAGAAAGCTCTTCCTTCCACTAAAACCTATGATTACAGAAAAATCAAACAAACATCAGACCTTAAAAAAACAAGTGAAGTTATGCAGCAAACATTGGGAAAGTTGAGATAGAAAGAGAGGGAGACTTGTTCTTGAAAATGGTTGTGTTGAGAGTAGTTGTGGGGCTGAGCAGAAATGGTGGCGTAGCGATGATGAGATTGCCTCTGCAACAAACGACTCAGCACTGATAACGATTTCAATCTCTGCATCTTCTAAGACCCTCTTTCGCAAGGTTTTCGTCTGTCGTGGTTCTTGACCGGGAAATCAGAGTATGGAAATCGATTCCTGAAAACAAAACCTCATTCAAATTGGGCCATCCCCATTTCAAGATTTCACGTTTCACCCACCAAATCTACACGAACGATTAAGGTTAAAGATGGTTCCTTTTCCCCACAGATTTTCCTTAAGAGCTTTGTTCCACCCCCCTTAACAACTCTTTGGGCCGAGCATCTCTAGTCCTCCCCAAAGCCCCCAAAAAACATGTAGATTTGGTCCAACAACTTCAGAAAAGTTTCACATTTGAGGGATTGTTTGCCAAACGTGCTTACCGTGTTACTTACCTTACATGGTAACAGGTAAGCAATGATAGCGGGACTTACCAGGATAGTGATTCTTACCCGTAAACTTTTATCGATTAATAGATATTTATCAACAATCTATTTTGATGAATGAGAATGTTACCCGATAAGGTAAAGTGATGATAATTACTTTTAATAGTAAGCATAAGTGCCAGTTCAATCGGTAAACGACCTTTTAGCCCCCTTGTTACTCTTTGTCCAAAGTTTGTATATTATAATAGTCTCATTTATTCATAACTAGAGTTTATTAGATGGACGAATATGACCCCTATTTGCATAAAGTATTTGATGGGTTACAATATTAGGTTATTCTGAGCTTTTTATATAAAATAGATCATTCAGGTTCATGTTTGAAAGTTGAGTTATCAAGATACATATTTAAAAATATTAGAAAGGTATTTGTATAATGCAGCAAGATATATCTTTATTTTAATGTTTCGTTTTATATTTTGGGTCTATCAATACTATAATGCTAGGTGTGATTTTGAGAAAAAGAAAAAGTTTTTATTTTTTTAATGAAATATAAATTTGAAGATATCATAAAATTTTGAAAAAAAAATAAGTGATATTAGTATTAAATTAAATATTTAAAAGTTTTTGTTTTTATGTAATTTCTTTGATTCAAAATTTTGTTATAATTTAAAAATGAATTAATTTATATTTGGTTTAATAATATAATTTTTTATAAAAATAATAATTAATTATTTTTGTAGAACTTAATAATTATCCTAATTATATTTTATTTTTTTTATATTTTAAAATGACATATTTATCCTCTATTTAATTATGTTTATTCGCAGTTAGTTACACGAATTTAAACATGAAGCTTTAATAAGCTATACTTACGCAAAATTTACTTGTAATCTTGAATTTTAAGTAATATGCATCAAATAAACAGTATTTCATACATAATAAACGATTTTTAAGAATTTTTGTCAAATGCTTTATAATATAATATAGACTATTATTTTTCTAATACATATGAATCTGTGTATAAATAGTGTATCTTTGGATTTCTAAATGTATTGAGATATTTCTTTTAGTTCAACTTTTTTTCCCTTAAATTCATGACAAAATTGAATTTCTTAAAATGACAAAGCAAAATTAAACTAGCAAAGTGAGTTTGATTTGATAAATCATAATATGATTTAGGGGTGTTTGGAATTACTTATTTAAAACAACTTATACTTTTTTACAAAAACACTTATCAATTTATTATAAAATTAGAAGGGTTTAACTTCTTTAAAAACTCCTTATTACCGGTTTGACACCGGTATAAGTTGTTTATCCAAACATTTAAAAATGCTTATTACCAATATCACACCGGAATAAGTTAATAAATTGTTTTTATAAGCAATCCCAAATACCCAATTAATTATAAAAAAAATAAAAAAAATCCAACTGAATAACCCCCCACTCCCCTTTCCACTAACCATAAAGTTTAGAGCCCTGTTTCTTGGCGAAAATGATGAATCAACCCTTTTAAATAAAATAATTACAATGGTCGTTATTATGGTTACAGTTTTATTACAAATCTAGTCCCTCCTACACGCATCGTTAACTTTATCTTCGTTGATTTTCGTCCTTTTTTATCTTTGTACCTAAATCCTGCCATAAGGTGAGGTTGAAAGAACCATGCGAAAATGATGTCAAACCCGTTGGAGCATACTTGTGTGATGAACAGAGGTCGAAAAGATAGGATGTACACAGACCACCTAGGGTAGATGTTTTTCTTTTTAAATATCAATCAGATAAAACCGAGTGAATATAAGGTAAGGAAAAGATGGGATGTACACAAGCCTCGTCTCTACTCCGAGGAGTAGAGGATGTTTCTATTACAGATTTCAATCACAGACTCAAGTTGATAGGTTCATATCTTATTATTGTAGTCAGAATGATGCAAATTAACTCAGCTATTAACTTTTCCGGTGACCAGAAACATGGTCGGAGAACATCCCCCAGATGTCGCCGGAAACTGGGCAGAATTTTATTAAAAGGCATTCCATGTGTGGTCAATTGAGTGGACAGGCTTTTTCAAACTCTTTCTGCTGTTTGAAGCATAATTCAAATTCATCGGTGTTGTAGTACATACAGCCAGGATATGCGTCCATCTCTTTTGTGCACTTCTGATGAAGATCTTTCAGCCTGCAATCGCATAATAATCATATACCATGATTCAAGGTTTGATATTCCAATCGTTTTTGTCAAATATGGAATGAAAAAATTCCAAAATAGATCATGGATTTAACCCAAGCTATGGATTCTATTTAACACCAGCCAGTAGCAATCTGCACCTCTGATCATTGAGAAAGTTCTCAAGAATGGTACCAAAAAAAAAAAAAAGTTGGTCCACATGCTTCGAGATTATGCCAAGCTAGTGGTAATCGGGTATTTTGAGCTAGTGCAATAGAGCAAGTACTGTGTCAGAGATTCTAACTTTCATTCAGTCTGATTATGCAAAACCGGTCTTTGAAGTTGAACATGCTGGTAAGGTAGCGAAATTCCTTGTCAGCTAAGTTTTGCAGATGCAAGACTCATTGCTAACAGGGTGTATGTGTTTTTATCGACTGTTTCAACAAAAAACGCCTTGCAAATTCGGTTTTAGATAGCAAGCGATGAAAAGTTGGAAAAGGATGCAATAGGCAAAAGAGACTTTTTGGTTTGTTTTATTTTGTACATATTGCTAAGGATTGGGATTGAATAGATAATGAGCTGGTGGTTGCTTCAAACACCCAACACAGCCAAGCAGATGTTTAGTCATATATGGGGAATAAACCAAACCCAGTACATCCCACACAAGGTAGGGTCTGATAAGGTAAGATGTACACAGCCTTCCGTAAATACCCCTGGTTTGTAAAACACAAATCAAAAGATCGAAGAGAGCAAGGCACCTGAAGGAGTCCATCAGTCTATGTGATCCTTCTTTCTAGGCACTTAGGGGACGTTTGAGTAATGCTAAGACATGTCAAGCTCATTTCAGATATATCTGATTGGTTTGGTTTGGTTAACCTCATATGATGACATCCATATTTGATGACTTACTAGATCTCTCAACCTTATTGGTTCTTAGTGTTGGAGGTGAATGAAGCACTAACAAACATGAATGTAGATAAAGCTCCAGGGGTAACATAATCAGAGAGCAATGAAAGCATATCATGGCCGCTAGATAACTAAGTGTTATCCCCGAGACAAACAGAGGAAAAGTTAATGGCCCCAAAATGAAATTACTAGAGTATGTTTTTATGCATAGACTAAAAGAGTTGATGAATGTGAAAAACATCAATTTGGTTAAATGCCAGGAAATCAACACAGGCCTTAGAAGATTCAATGAGGTATATACGGGACATAAAAAGGACTTGTATTTGGCAATTTCAATCCAAGGAAGGCATATGATAGGGTGCCACTACAATTGATATCAAAAAGAAAAATTTTCCTACAATCTGTAAAAAAGTGATTGAAGATATGCATCATGGTGTAATAACGAGCATGAAATCATGCAATGCCGACGCAGATGTCTTCCCTATCGTTACAGGGTTATTCCAATTGCCAAAGGCCTTCAGGTGTGTTTGGTACGCGGGACAACAGTATAAATATTTGTTGTTCAATGTTTGTCTCTGAGCGGTACTAAAATGCCTTTTTTTGTCCCATCAAAATAGGTGGAAAAAATCAAAGAGATGGAATGCAATTAATAAATGACTAAACTACCCATGTAAAATTAAAACCCTTTCACAATTCCTTCACTTGCCTCCTGTCCATTCTCGTCCTATCCTACCCAAACCCGCGTACCAAAAGCACCTTTAAGTCCTTATCTTTTTGCTTTAGTAACAGAACTCATGAAAAAACATACAAGAATGTTATGAGAAGATACACCATGGGGTATGGTCTGCAGATGATAAGAGTGTTAGTTTATGACATTCGGCAAAGTCCCAACACAAAGTTGAATTTTTGGTACAACACGTTAAGGATTCAGAATTTTTTATTAGAATGGGAAAAACAAGTATGCAACAATTTTAGTCTTGCTGATAGAAAACGAAAGGGAGAAGACACGATAACGCATATATAAAGGAACACTATGTTTGAGCTATGAAGAACATAACGGAGTTCAGTGAAAACTAAAGACGGCTTTCAGTCTTATAAACCTTGGGTCATGTAGGCAAGCAATTGAGACAAACGAACTCCCTACAATCTAAATGTATGTGATTGAAGATGTGTATCATTGAGTTGTAACGAGCATTAAAGAATGCAATGATGAGACAGATACTTACCTAATTCTATAGGGTTATTCCAAGGGTCTAGATTCCGACGAAATCTGAAGGAATTGGAATGATCAATTCCATTGACCAAATTCCATTTAGGCATTTGGTTTACCTATCGAATGAAATTGAATTCCCCACATTCCACCATTCATGGATTTGGTCATTCTATCACAATTGAGAAGGAATTCAATTCAATTCCATTCCATCCCATTTTCTCAAAAGGACAAAATTATCCCCCATCTTTCCCTACTTGATTTACCCAGACCCATAAGACCTCCATCTGAACCACCACCAATCTAAATCTCAACCGACCACCACCGTCCTAAACCACTGCCTACCACCACCGACCAGAACAAACGATTTGAACCACCAACGACCCCCACAGTTCTGAACCACCGCTGACCACCACCGTCATAAAAGGGGTATTTTGGTCATTTATTGTCTACTCATTCCAATTCCGAAGCTATCTTCTACCAACCAAACAGGTAGATTCCAAATCATTTAACATATTTTGTTCCAATTCTATTCCGATTCATTCCAACCAAACGTGCGGTCAAATTCCATTCCAAATTCCTTCAAAGTCAAATTTCTTCAACAGATTTCATTCCTTCAGAAAACATTCTGCAAACCAAACGCCTCCCAAGTCTTTATCTTTTTTACTTTAGTTGCAAATGGAAGTCATAAAAAACCTAGAAAATGACGAGCATAGTTTATGTTTTTTTGGCTGATGAATGATGATATATTAGTGTTGATTTATGGGGAAAATGCCAAGTCCCATTGCATAGTTGAATGTCTGGTAAAACACTTTAGGACCAAAAGTTTTAGATTAAGATGGAAAAAAACATGGAGAGCATTTTAGCCGTCTTGATGGGGACAACAGAGAGAAGATAAAGTAAGCATACCCGTAAGAGTAGTTCATATAATGAATCAAGATGTTCCGTAGCTAATCCGTGCAACCTTAGGACAACAACATTCTAAGGGGGTGTTTGGGATTGCTTATTTGAAACAACTTATGCTTTTCTATAAAAATCCTTATCAACTTATTATAAGTTAGAATGTTTTAACTTCTTAAAAAACTCCTTATTACCGGTTTGGCACCGGTATAAACTGTTTATCTAAACACTCTAAAGTGCTTACTACGGGTGCCACACGGAATAAGTCAATAAGCTGTTTTTATAAGCAATCCCAAACACCCTCTAAGTTTGGCCAAGTAAGCCTTTGAGAACAACATGAAGTTGATTGAAAGCTAAAGATGGTTTTATGCTTATAACTTGGATTGTGCTAGTTCATTCTTATAAGTGAGAAGCCTATCTCCTCAAGGGAACATTCTATTTGTGAGAAGCATCTATATTCCACCACGAAGCCTAAGCTACAAACACGTTGGAAGTGATCATTTGCCAAATTGGGCCAGGCCCAACCTATACTTTTTGTCCAAAGGGACTCATATGGCAAAACCAAGTCATTTTTTTGTAGGTTTGATAAGTTGCCCTTACCTTGTCAAGCCTAAAAAGTCTTTTACCTTTTTAAAAAAATAACCTATGTAACCTCTATTAACTTTATATCCATCTCCACACAACATCAAAATAGAGATTCACGATAAGATTCTCGGAGATTGGAAATGTATTAGTCACATCTTAGAAAAGCTTCAAAAATGCATGCAACTTATCAATTGAGGAAGCAAAACTAGCTGATATCTTTATCTCGATCAACCACATTTCTAAACTATATACAACAATCAAGCATCAAAAAACTAGAATTTCACTGAAGCAATTATTGGAACCCAACTATTTGCTTGTCTTTATTCCAAAACTTGTTTCCACAATACCATAAAACCTTTTTTAGGATTGAGTATCGGAAATGCTTAATTATGCTTCTAATCTTGATGATAACATCATCAAAGAGCTTCTAATAGTTTTAAGCTTTATTAATCGTCATTTACCGCTTTGTTATATTATCATCATTTTCTATATTCATATCATCATCGTCTTTATATTATGACAATTTAATTTCACGTCTCTATTTATCCTAAGCTTTTTTTATTCATCATAATATAGTTCAAATTATCATAATCGTATTTCTTAATCGTCATAACTTAGTTTATATTTCTCGTAATCATTTTCATCCTTTTATTTACTTCTTGTATTAAATTCTCGTAATCATTAAATTATCATCACTTTTACTTTAGTTGTCCTAAAAATCACATCTATTGACAAGTTGATCATTGTTAGTGTGATGGACTTAAAGATAAGTCATCTCCAACACATCATACGGAGGTATACTCGAGAGAGTTACTTAGAACCAAATAAACTTGTTTTCATTCGTACAACTTATACAAGGGATAGATTGTGTCATTGCCAGGACTTTACTTTATTTAGAAATATTAAAGTTAGCCATTGGATGTGTGCCTTTCTCAACCTCGATAGAGTGCCTTACACAAGCTAAAGGCTAGATAAAATGAGTTATCTTTTACAAGTTCTACCTAATTTATTTGCTTTAAAATCTTAACAGATCCCTACACCCTTGCTTCCTTTTTAAATACTTGTTTGCATCTGTGTTACTAGAAAACCCAAATAAAAACATTTGTTCAAACTCGCCATCTAAAAACATCTCTTTTACTAGACTTCTATGTTAAACTTTTATATTTTTTCCCCTGTGGATCGATACTCGATATTCTACCATTTTACTACTTGTAAAAGACGACAACGAGTTGATAGGTGTTCACTTGCACAAGTCTTTGTTGCTAATAGTCCAAGAGATTTATTATATATAAATCTCACAACAACATACTAGTCGGAGATAGAATTAAAAAAATATGAAATAGCACGATATGGTTGAGGATGACTTCATGTAGTTTAGTTATCTCGAATGTAGGACTCTAAATGAACAAGATACAAAAACGGGCTTGTACCAAGTGAAGGATTGGTATAAATTTTGCATAAGAGATGCATAATTCAGGAGTTAGCTATATACAGGAATGCATCTAAGTTGACGTATCATAAGAATCACAAACACTTTAGTTGGTTGATTTATTCATTGGTGACAAGGATCCATTGTACACAACGACTACCTACACTCATACCAACGAGTGGTCCCCAAGCTCCAACAATTAAACCAATAATCACCACATAGAAAGTTGGTCTTGTTGTGCAAAGTACAAACAAAATTTGACATTTAAACCACATAGTTTTATGCAGAAAGACACATACAATGTTTTTGTTGCATATGGCCCACATTGCATAAGCTAAAAGTCACCCTTTTAGAGTCGGTTAGAAGCATTCGTGTATGAACTTATATTATCTATTTCTCAACACCCGTTATGATTAAGAAACAGCCAAAGCTTTAGATAAAGTAGGTTGGAAGCTTGATAACTATATGAACATAAATGATCTCTTAATCTCTTTATCTGCACCGAGTAGGATAATAAACATCAAAAGTTTTGAGATGCAAGAAACTCTATTGGAGCAAGATAAGGCAAGTGTAGGAACTAAAAGCAACAGGTATTCACTAATGAACTAACAGAGCATTCCAACTGGCCATGAAGCAAGTAGCTCTTAAATTTTCATAATAACATAAATCTAATCTAATTACATCTAAGGACAAAGATGAAAACATACACCCTCAACTGAAAAAAAAAAAAGTAAAATCTCAAAAGCAAATTCGTTTCATACTTTCTTCCATAAAAAACAGAAGGTTTTCACTGTAAACTCGGCAGCCAAACTTGTACTACTCCCTCTGTCCCAAAATAAGTGTGCATATTTGCCAAACTTGTACTACTCCCTCCATTTAGCCACATTTCTGTTTTAGCTTGTCCAAATTCAGAGATAAGTGTCCCCACTTCTATCTTAGGTGTCGTTTACCAAACGCTTACCCGGGTAAGCGTTTATCAAGTCACTTTTCTTTACTGGATGAATATGGCAAGGAATAAAAATCTTACCCGATAAGAGCGAAGGCAAGAATCGAGAGTCTTACCCGGTAAGTGAGGACGATAACTCTTACCATGGTTAGCGCTTACCGGGATAAACTGTTGCATACGATGTGTTTTAGTGAATAAAATATTACCCAGTAAGCAAGCGATAGTGTTGAATTTTACCGGTAAGTGCTTACCGGGTAAATGTTTAGGTAAACGGCCCCTTAGTTTATTAAATAAGTATCCGTTTTCCAATTTTGCCATAGCCAATTCTACTCATGAGAGTAAATTGTCATTTACTTGATTAAAAAAATGTAATCATTATTTATCTCTAATGGGTTAAGTTTTTAGGTCTTATTAGGTCTCTCCCTTTTTCAGTGCCCCTTTAGCATTCAGATAGACATAAACATACATACTTACAGGGAGAGGACACAACGGATGACTTGGCTGCCTTTATCCAGGCATTTCTCAGGGTTAGGATCGTCCTTCTTGCACTTGAGGAAAGCTATATTTTCGCCTCTGCATCTACCCGCTATGTGCTTCGATGCCGACATTAGCACCGCCGATGTCGGAATCGGTTCTCCTACAGCATCCACCGCACTCGCCATCCCAACTGAAAATCAATCGCAAGCCCTATCAGTCAAAATCGATGTCATCATTTCAAAAAATTTACCGAAAAATTCAAATCAAAGATCATAACAAAACAAAATTCCAATTAGTTAAGAGTTACATATAAAGAAAAATGATGGAATTATAAATCACATTAGGGTTTACACACCTTTCTCTTGAAGTCTCGCTGGAAACGATGGAAGTGACTGCAATGTATTAACAAAGAGAACCAACAACGGGTTCCTGGAAGCTATAGGTTAATCGAACCGATTTATTGATTAATATCGGTTTGGTTAAATTTCTGCCGGTTCGATTTACGGCCCGGTTCAATTAGAAACGGAGTCCACGAACAAATCAATTGGTATGCAAGACAAGAAAGATTTAATTTTTTTAAAATAAATAAATCATTGAATTTTTTTATTTCAAGTGATTAAATTGTTGTAAAAAATGGAGGATTGAAAAACAAAAAACAGATAAAAAGTGGGATCGACTGCAAAACCAACGACGACAATAAATGGTATGGAGAATAGATGATGACCGGACAATGAGGGAGAGCGATGTCATTGGGTGAAAGAGGTGTGAATGGCGTAGGATTTGGGAACGATAAAACTGATTTAGGTTTTGAGTTTACATTATTATTATTTTTTTAAAGGAGAAAACTCCTGTCAAATATTATAGAAGGTAAAAAAACAAAACAGCAAGTTCAAACAACCAAATCACCAAGCAGAAAAGTAACAAAACAGACAAGCTTGAAAACAACATCATACTAAGCCACAAGAAGCCAAAAGGCACACAATGAAACAAAGAGGTGAACCATGCAAAAAGAAATGCTCAAATCCAGATTCCACCAAAACCGAAAGTGGTCTTCAAGAGCATCAAGACATCAAGAAACTCCATCAACGACATGAATGTTGATTCTTCTCTTAGCTCTCCACGCCATCCTATCCAAAATCACACTTCTAATCTCCTTAGCAAGTTGTGATGTCGTCCGTCTTTGCTCAGTAAAAAGTCTTATATTCCTTTCTTGCCAAATGTGGTAAATGGAAGCCGCAAAACCCAACTTTTGCATAAGAGACCATCGCTTTCCTTGACCACTAGCAATTGCTAAAAGGATTCCTGCCCAAGAATCCCCAACACCCATCATATCCACATCATCCTTAACAGCAGCCCAAATCTCCATAGAATATCCACATTCAAAAAACAAATAACTATGGAAATCTATGCAAGATTTACATAAGGAATAAAGAAGGACCGGGGGATCATGTTTCCAAGCTTTCTTACGGTCTTGGGTTGGAAGTCGCCTCCTACATGCTAACCAAAGACAGAAAGCATGCTTCGGAATGTATAACAGGAATCGAACAATGCGATGCCAAGAGACAACTGTTTTGACACCATCCAAGGAATTATATGTCTCCTTAACTGAAAAACCAACAAAACTACAATGCACATTCCTCCACAAAACTCCATCTCGGGTACCATAGGAAAGAACCAACACTGTATAATTCGATAGCCATGATGCTCTTTGAATCCAAGTCTCCAACCAATGATCATCCAATTGATTAACATCATCATACAAGGTGGAAAGGGAATTGAAACCAAAGGGAATTGAAACCACTAGCATGAATAAAGCGATAAGAAAAGAAGCTTGCCAATGTACCATTAAGAAGCCACTTATCCTCCCAAGCATTCTTAGACATACCATCCCCAAGCTGAATAACAAATAGAGGTCGCAAATGGTCCCCAAAATATCTAGCAACTTACGCCACACCCAAGACGTATTTTGAGATCTTCCTAACACTCCAAAAAGGACTAAAGTCATAGATCCAAGAGATCCACAACGATTGCCTTCTTTGTAATATATCCCACACATGTGAAGCTAATAAACTTCTATTCCAAACAACCAATCATTTTATACGAAGACCACCATTCACCTTCGGCTTACAAACCTCACCTCATCCCACGATATACAACATCTTCCTTTAAAGCTACTTCCTTGTGATCATAAGAAATCACGAAAAAGTGACTCTATTTCATGAAGACCAAAAGAAAGAATAGAAAATATCGACATCCAATAAATTTGCAAAGACATAAGTACCGACCTTATAAACTGACATCGACCACCAAAAGAGAGAAATTTCGCCTTACAATTCTGAATCTAAAGTTTGATTTCGATAATAAGCACACCAAAATCAGTCACTTTGAGTCACACGGGGGAAAGGGGAACACCTAAATACCGAATAGGAAAGCTAGCCTCTCAAAAAGGCAAACATGCCAGAATATCTGATTTAGTCGATTCCGGAACATTAGCAAAGAACACAACACTTTTGGCAAGGCTAGGATACAAACCCGTTCTTCTCTTAAACATATGAAGGGCCCTTTTCAAAACATCCACCGAAGCCACATCACCTTGCATAAAAACAAATAAATCATCTGCAAAACAAAGATGAGTGAGCTGGAAAGAATGACATTTTTTTATGATAACCAAAAGGAACAACCTTCAAGATACACTTCTGAAGGATCATGGTGAACCCCTCCATTACAATCGTGAAAATATAAGAAGATAAAGGATCACCCTGCCGAATACCCCTACCACCCTTAAGAAAACCCGAAGAGGCCCCATTCATCATAATCAAAAATGATGGGGAACTCACCATTTCTCCAATCTATCTCACCATGATTGGCTGAAAACCCATTACAACTAACATATTATGAAGAAAAAACGTCAATCCACCGTATCATAAGCCTTTTACACATTAATCTTGAAAGCACAACGAGGAGGACGTTCATTCCTTTGGTAGCCTGTAACAAGCTCATGTGCCATAAGAATATTGTCTGTAATTCTACAACTTGGAATGAACACAAATTGGTTCAAGCTCGCCAACCTATCCAAATACTCCTTAATCGTCTCAACTATTATTTTGCTAATGCACTTATACAGAACCGTACGACAATCAATATGCCTATATTCTGTCACCTTTGAAGCATTGGGGACTTTAGGAATAAGGCACAATGAAGTATGATTAAGTTCACAAGGAAGATAGCCATTATAGAAAAAATGTCAACAACTAAGGTAGCATCACATCTGTAAAACCAAAAAAAAAATTAAGGAATAAATATTGTTGTTATTATTCTTTTCATTTTGGATTAATATATATATATATATATATATATATATAAATAAATTAAAAGAATTTTTAAAAATCGGACTAATAATGAAGAAAAAACTCAAAATAGGGGTGAAAAGTGTAAATTTGGCAAAAATATTGAAACCAAGGGCCAAAATGTAAAATTTTGATAGTTAAGGAGGTGTGTCAGATGTTAAAAGGTCCAAACCATAAGAACCTATTATATAAATATGTTAGATTCTGATTTTTTTGAAAATGATGGAACGATGTCATGCTTTGAGGCTTCTTATTGGCTCGTTCAGTCAACCAATAAGCCAAAAAAATTACAGAAATAAACAGCCAACGTCCCCCTCTACATTTTTTTGTTCAAGAATTTTGAATTTTGGAGAATCGGGAGAGAAATAAGAGCTCGAACGCCCCCATCCGAAATCTCCGTTTATCAACGATTAGAGATAAAATACTCAACTAAAATTCATGTTCTTTATATGGTTAGCTTCGTTTTTATGTCCTCTATGGAACTTTAGTAGCCTTATGTCTCAGGTTTTAGTTTTGAAGGCTCGATTTCGAGTTTTTCTATGATTTTCAAATGGTTTTTGGAGTTGAACTTTAAGTGCGAAAATGAGACTCAATACTTGATGATTTTCGTTGATTTTTGTTCTTATGGTTGAGGAAAATCATTTTCTAAAGATTTTGCAAAAAGAATTATCGAAAACGATGAAGAAACAAGGCCAAGTGACCTGTTTTTCCGGCTGCCAGCGTGACCGGTAAGCTGGTCACAGGCTTGGTTGGCCCCGGCTGGGCCACGTTTGTTGGGCTGTACAACCGACTTGGGCCACTTTCTAGATGGCTAAATTCAGATTTTCAATTAGGTCATATGTTGTTGGGCTTATTGCCTTTTATTAATGTTTGGGCTAATATCAGAATTATTACTAATTAGTTGTTTTGGAGTCCATTAACTTATATTGGACATGTAATCCATTTTGGGTTATGTTAATTAAGGTAAAATTATTTGGATTATATTAATTAATTATTAATTTAGTTTCTAAATTAATTAAGATGTTAATTTTAATTGTTATTTGATTAATATATTAATTTATTTTAGAATATGTATATTAATTAATTATTTCTTAATGAGGTGTTATGCGATTGTTTAATGAAGTTCAAATGACGGATTTGAAGTGTCATATTTGATCAAATATTATCGAGATGCTTTAATGCGAAATACATGATTCCTTTAGTTATTAAAAGGATGGACCACCGTTAAGAGTCATTATCAAGCGTATCACTTAGAGATTTATTAAATTATTTTGTTGATTTAATAATATGTTAAAGCGTCGTAATTAGAATTGAGAATTTATGGGACATTTGACCTTTTTAGTTGTCATTGAGTTTTAGACTTGGGGTTTGACTAAAGTTAGTCGGAGTTTACCAAGTTGACCAAGGGTTGATTTTTGACATGTTTGACCTGTATGGATTTTAATGATGGGGCAAATGACGTTATCTGAAGCATATTAGAATGCTCGGGTATGAAGTTTGACTTTAGGTCGGGTCGAATTGAGCATTGTTGACTTTTGGAGAAATTAAGCCATTAATGAGATATTATGGTTTGGAATTTGTAGGTATAGATCAAAAGCTATCAGTAGTCAGTCTATATGCAATCAGATGAGTCTTCATGAGATTTCACTGAGATGCATACCCAAGTACAAATTTATTTTAGCATGATATAAATCGATGATGATGTGCACGGATATTTCAATTACATACATCTTACGATATATTTTACATGTATGTTATTTTGTGAATAGTTATATGTTATGTATTTAATCAGTTTTCGAATAACTCTAGCATGATATTCTATATTAAAAGTTTATGATTAAAGGGTGGACATTTGACCAGTAAGTCACGACCAATATAAAACACGACTTAGATAAGTGGGCGATCAATTAAGACTGACATATCAACCCAGTGCGTGTTTGTGACTAAATGACTCATACCCAACTAAACATTATATGAGATCTCTTCTTTTCAGTGTTTTGAATATATTTTTGCAAAAGCTGTGACTGTTATTATAAAACATGCTTATAATAACTTAAGACCGGAATCGAAACCAAACCAATATTCCCACACGAGTTTGAACCTATCCTTCGAGGTAGACTCAATGGTAGAAATGGGTAGAAGCAGAGTGTTAACTATGTGAATGAAAATTAAATACAATGCCCAAAAATAAATACCAATATGATTTTCTTGAAGTACGTAAAGGTAGAGATCTACACAGTACAAAACCTTAAAGGTTTTATACGACTACTCTTTTGACGCTGTGAGTTTGTAGTCGCAAAGCCCCAGGATTTGATGCAGTACACATTTTCGTTTTTTCAACAACGACGAAAAACGAAAATTGAAGCAAGATGGATGCAGAAATTCGGTAGAGAGAAAGAACGGGTAGGAGCAGAAATTCGAGAGAGGAAGCGATAATTTTCTGAAGTGATTCATATGGGTGGCTTCTACCTAGTATTTATACTAGAGAAAACCCTAATATCCTCACGATCGGTCACGCACGCACGTGTGCATTGGGCCTTCCACTCAAGATCCTCACCATGAGTCTACTTATATGTTCAAAGCCCAATTGTAGAGAAAACCTTATAAGCTTCTCTAAAGTTTCTTTATCTACCAGTGTGGGATGGAGGAAAACCTCCAACCCAACGTATAATTTCCAACAGAAAATGTCCCCGATTAATATAATTGCCAACCAAATAATTAAATTCTATATTAAAATGACCAAAAGTTATCGGTTTTCTAAAATAACAATTTTATTTTAAGGCAAATTATATAAAAAATTTAAGCATTTCCACCGTATACAAATTTTTAGAAAACACACTTTTAAACCATATATTTAAGAATTCATAGTTTAAAAGATGTCAATTTTAATATCCAATACTTAGATAACATATATAAAACTTGAATATTATATAAAATGCATTAAATTAAACATTTTTTTTTTAAATTACAGACTAGTAGACGTGTATTTTAACCGTATGATTTTTGAAATATAAATTGAATATTATCTAGATAAAGGCCATGTGTCAACATCCATAAAAGTGACATGAAAAAATAGGAAATAGGTGATGAGTGATTTTTTCTTTTTTATTAAAGTTGTTTCTAAACGAGACGCGTCTAACGGGCTGGTTAGAAATACGAGTTTGAACAATAATTCTCGAGAAAATGGATCCAAATTTGTTTGTTAAAACTATTAGACGGGCATGTGCGATAAAAAAGAAATTGAGCAAGCTTGTCTGACCCATTTATATTCTGTAATCAATATATTTTATAGTTGATTAAAATTTTTATTTATATATTTTTAATTTAAAATTCTGGAAGCAACAACTGATACACCGTTCTTTGTTTTTAAGAGATGCTAGAATTTGAAGTAGTATTTCATTTTTTTTATTGAGAAGAGGCTATGTTAAGATCTAAAAACAAAATCAATAAGACTCATTTGTTTTTGTAAACTAATAAATGTCTGAATCTGTGTAATTATCTATTTTACTCTTATAATATTATAATTTTAAATTTATATTTATATTTAATAGAAATCCACTTTTACTCGTGAATATGTAAAATGATTGTCAAGAAATCTTTTGTTACTACAACGTTCATCTTCGAACAACAAAGGATTTCAACATTTTTTTATTAACCTGGATATCCAACTCGCTATGCGAGCCGACTAATCTTGGGAAGACCACCTATTTTGTAGATAGTTCGGAGTCATTGTATTTGAACCTCCATGGCCACAAGGGGATTTTTATTTCTCCTTGGATTTGAACATGAGACCTTCTGGTACTTTTAACCTTTGGAGCCAAGCTCAAACCAATCAGACACTACCCTTGTGGTTGTATTTCAACATTAGTCGTCTACTTTAAACTCTTACTAACAATGGGCTAGCTTTCAGTAAGAAACGAAAGTTATGGTAAGAAATATAAAAAGAGATCTTCACTCTTGAATCAATGTTAATTAAATGTCAACACTAATGAGATGCATCAGGTCAATTCCTTTATAAAGCACAATTCATGTGTGAACATGAGATTAAAAATAATCAAAGGTTCAAATCTTTTCCTACGCTATGATTCTTCGCCTTCCAACAATTCCATATGTTTGTTATCTATCAACGAAATAAATCTATCAACGAAATAATACATGTAGATTATAAAACTAACCATTAATTTGAACCAAGACATCACAACCTCTACCATTTCCATATGTGGCTACACAACATCTCTTGATGGCATTGTTCTGAACAAGGCTTCCACACTTTTTTTTATTAACCTGGATATCCAACCCGCTATGCGAGCCGACTAATTCCAGGGTGACCACCTGCTTTGCGGGTAGCCCAGAGTCACCGCATTTGAACCTCCGTGGCCACAAGAGGATTTTTATTCCTCCTTGGATTTGAACTTGAGACCTCCAGACATACATAGTCGAGAATTAGCTTCCAATTAGAACCTCGAGCCCAAATCCATGCCTGATTAGTGGCTTGGTTTTGTTTTCCTTGCTGTAGCACAACAAGACTCGAGTACGCTATTAGGGTGCATGTTTGGTGAGATACCTTCGTTCTTCTCCATTTTGAACGAACCCTCTAAGCATCGGAGTCCACAACACTATCCAATAGATATCCTGCAAATGATCAAACTCCCGCTGAGCTTCGTGTACAAACCACATCTAGTATACATATCGATTGAAGTCGTCATTATTATATAGATTTGATATTGAGATACCAATTTTATGAGTATAAATGTGTCTCCATTTCCCTCCCCAATTTTACAAGACCTGCATATAGATGGTGATGGAGTGCTTAATTTTACAAGACCTATAGATATAGATGGTGATGGAGTGCTTAATTTTACAAGACCTATAGATATAGATAGTGATGGAGTGCTTAATTTTACAAGACCTATAGATATAGATAGTGATGGAGTGCTTAAGAGAGCTGAACAAAACAAGGTTCTGGATTATGTTCTGTTTTCTATTGCATCTTTTCAATTAAGATAAGAAAGATGTAACTATCAATAGTTGAACCATTGCTACAAGCATTAAGGGAGTCGATAACTACCAAACGAACAAGACCATCAAGTATTGGCTACGTTTAAGTTGCTTCAATTCCATATAAGAAACATATTTAAGTTGCTATTTTCAGTCACTGGAAACTTACAGAAGCATAAGGATTATGTTGGCTATATTATAGCTAGCACCAAACAAGCACAAAAATCCAAAGATAAGTAGAGAAGAAACAAATCTTGGATGTTAACACATATTTGAATGAGGAACGAAGAGAGACAAGATGAGATAGATGAAACCCCTTGATGCTTTGAGGAACGAGTCTGAGATCGACAAACAGAATCTGCGATCAATTAGGTTTCACGATTGAGAGGGGCGTGAATTGTTTGCATAGATTGAGAGATGGGCGATTGAAGAGGCGTGAAGAGTAAGGTAAAACAAGAGATGGGTTCGTGTTATGGATTCAGATGACGGTAAGACCTTTTTAGCTCTCATCAACTAAAAAACAAACGCACATGAGATATAGCAGTCTTCGAATTTTCAAAAGGCAAGAAACTACAAAATCAGCAAAAAGATCCAAGTAAAAGCAAAAATGGGACCAATGAGCTCTCATTTAACCATCAATGAGGACTAACAAATAGTTCATACAAGACAAGCAACTCAGAATCATGATAATACCTGATTGAAAGAACAGAAAAAAAATCCCTGCTTAAAACAATGCGGGGTGCAAAATGGCAGCATCTACAAAGTATAAAAATAGTTCTTGCTTTTGAAAATCCAAATGCAAAAACTCACATTCCCTGATTTTTTACATAATAAGATTAGAATTTGGACAGCTAACGATTATATTTGGGATCAGTTATATATAAGAGTGTGAAACGTAATGTTCATACTGGATGCAGTCTATCTAAAATTATAAGCACTTTATAACATAAAAATTAGTGAAATGCAACATCTACACTGAAACATGGCAGTCTTAGAAATTTCAGAAAACGACCCGTTGTTCACAAATTAAAGAAGACATACGAAACTATAAAATCAACAAACAGATCAAGTAAATGCAAATAATGAACCAATGAGCTCGATGAACAGATAGTTCATACAAGGACGCAAGAAAAGCACAAAGCAAATGACCATGATTAACAGAAAAGATAAAAGAACAACCTATACGGCCTTCTGCAGCTTCTTGATCAAAGCCATCGGCTTCCTACTTCAAAGCTCTCCAAAACCTGTCATTACGCACAAATTTTCAACAACAATAGATTGATTCAATCTTACATTAACCAGAAAGTAAGATTGTGGCATAAAACATCAAAAACGTAGGTGCACCTTCTGCGAGCACGAGCAGTGAAGTGTTTCACCAGCTTATCCATAGACATATCAAGGAGAGCATCCAAATCAACTCCCCTGAAACTGAAATTCTTGGACATCCTCTTATTGGGCACTCCGGCAACCGCCACATCAGTGCTGTTGCAGGATTTGTGTTTTAAAGATGCTGTTGGAGTACCTAGTTGTGCGACAGATCTTTCTTGAGCCTTTTTGGTTCAATAGATTTCAGATTGTTGTACACACCAGGGACTGTTAATTTTTCAATAGCAATACTTGCAAATGCTGATAGGTATTCTGTTTGCACCAGGTTCATTGGTGGTATTCTATTTCGGGTATATAGCTTATGGTGGTGTTTTTATTTTGGTTAAATGGTTACATGTGATGTGGTTTGGGTGGGTCCTCGAGCTTCTGTCACGTGGATTTCAAGCCTTTTGATCTGGGTATTTTTCACAAGGCGTTAACCATGATTTTGGTATTAGAATAGTGTTCTTGATAAATTTGATTCAAAATGTGGCTTCAAGTGTTGTGGTTGAGACTGTTGTGTTGATCTAAGGGCCAAAAAATCTGTGGACTAAGTGGATGCAACAGCAAAAGGGTGAGTTGATGGTCATTTGGTTTTTGAAGATTCTGAATTTATAGGGATTTGCCTATTTGCTTTCTAAATTTCGTTCAATATGAGTGGATACTTCTAATGGATTTTATGTTCAATTGGTCAAGAAGTGGTTATTTCAGAAACTATATCGGGTTAATGTGGTGTGAAGATTGCACTTTATCCTAAACTTACCTGCACAAAAAATAAGATTTCAATGACATCTACATCATAAAGAAACTGTTTTAGCAAAATATAGTTGCAGAGATAAAAGCAAAAGTGAATATATATATATATATATATATATATAGAGAGAGAGAGAGAGAGAGAGAGAGAGAGATCAAGGATGAAAAAGCTATACTGGAATGTACCAATTTATGGGCCTGCAAGTGTTTATGTACACCACTGGAGCTAGGAGAAGACTTCATCAACCCATGCACAATTTACCATGGTGGGGTCCATCATTATTACTAGAATAAGAACATAAAGATGCAAAATTATTTCATTAAAACTTGGATAGAGATAACTAGACAGGCAATCTATGGTCAACTAAGAGGCAAAAAAGTAACACAACAATTCTCAATTGAAATCCTTCAATCTTCTCTTCAACACGTCCATTGACTTCTTACGATTACTCTGCTTGGCGCCTCTGTTAGAAAGGCTCCCAAACAGGGTATCAGGTGAATCTTTATATTTTTCGCAAATGATGGCCAACTTCTTGTAATCCAACGTGTTGTAGTTCTTCATGCGTATGACAGGATTCATGAAGTTTTCAGGCTGACTGCTCAGTAGAAGATTTATCAATTGTCTTAGTTCTAGCAAACAACCTCTGAAACTACCTTCTTTGTATATTTCACTTAATCCAGTACTATGAAACTTGTCATCTGCAAATTGTTCTACAGTTTTAACATCATTGTTGATTCCCATCACTGCATTTGCAGTGAAACGCTTTAAACCATCACTAAGAAGCGTGTTCATGAAAGAGTTGTTAATATGCTCAAGGGCCCCGCTACCAATTTTATACATAACATCCAGAGGTAAAATCTGTTGAGCAGTTGACAGAATAGTGTCGAGATAAATAACGACCTCATTCATGTAGTCACTTTTGTGTTGTGCTACATCGTCTATGATCCAATTCACATTCTCTGTAAGTGCCAGATACTCGGTCAACTTTTTATTCACCAAATCTATAAGAGCAAGATAAGCTTCATCCCTTGAAGTCTTGAGAACCATTTTCGCCATTAGACCAGATTGAGGCCTTGCAACAATCCGAGTGGGAATACCACATTGTTTTGCTGCAGTCTGAAGGAAATAATCACAAGCTTTTTCCAGAAACGCTATATTAGCAGCAATCTGCATTGCCTGAGATACTCCAGTGTTAGGACTTTTAATCGTGTTGAGTAAAACTTCATTTAATACTTCGATCAACAACTTGTCAAGATACTTCTTAGCAAAATCAAAAAAATTCGTTTGACCCCCATAAGACAAGTAATTAACCGAATCCTTGATGAACGACCTGATTATCCGACAACAATCAGGAACCATTGATGAGAAGGGAGCAACATATGGGAAAGCCGGGATTATATCAGAGGTTTGAAGATTAAACACAAGAACATTCGACTGGTATTCCGACTCCTTCAAAACCATTTGTTCACAACTATCATTGATAATGGCATCTTTGATTTGGAGTCGACACTCTCCCAAAAGAAGCTCATGATATTTGTCACGACTATTGGTCAACGCCTCGAGAATGGGGCTCACATCATAGCCATATTGTCTTAAAGTAGCCCCAAGAAGTGTCACATAGTCCTTTACAAGAAGAAGATGACTAGCAGTATCCATTTGCGCAAACTGGAGTTCCAAAGTCGAAGTCACCTTAGATTGTGCCGTTTGCCACATTGCCTCAACCTGGTTAGCCGACAGTAGATCACCGGCTGTCCTAAGAACCCGATCCTCAACAATAAAGTATCCAGCAATCTGTGCCAAGTAAGTCTGATGTGATCCAAGAAAATGTTGCAGTGAAGAGACCTGCACATCCGAACTCAGCTGCAACATCCGGTTTTTATAGTAATATTCACGAAACTGATCACCGATCCCAAGACAGATATGGATATAATATGCACGATACAGAGGCATAAGATTGATTTTGAGAACAGAAGTTTCATCAACTTCTTCAACATCTAATGAATACGTAAAATCACCCAATCCTAAACAACTCTCTTCCTCCGCTTTCTTCTGTCGAGCAAGCATATCCTCGTTTCTTTGACGGGCAGAAGAAGCAAACCCTATAGCTCTTTGCCCAATCTCCTTCGAGGTGCCCCGGATATGAACCAACCATTCATTGATTTCACCACACACTTTTTTCTCAATATGAGATTTGATTACTGGGACTCTCTTCTCTACTAGATTCTTAAGAGTCTTGACAGGTATAATCTTCATATAATTCTTCTCTATTTGATCAATAGCTTTCAAAGCTGGATAAAACTGACCTTCAGATACATACTTGTTGCACTTTATACAAAGATCCAACACTTCAACACAAACCCTTGACATCTTAACAGCTTCTGTAACATTCTTCTTGATCGAATAAGATTCAAGCAAATCTTCAAGTCTTACAAGCAACGCGCTCCCGATCTCTTGTAACCTAAAATTATCACTTGCAAGCTCACTTTTCAATTCTTCAGCATCAACCAGTACACCACGGAGCTCATCAACTGCAACAATGAATTCCTCATAGTGGAGTTTACAAAGCTCCTCGATCTCAACTTCCTTTTTTTTCACAACATGTTTCAGCTGATGAAGGAGAGTTTCAGGCTTCCCCATCTCAAATGAATGCCTTACCATTGGAGCCAAATCCTCCCCATTTCCTATCAAAGTCATGAGAATTGAATCTTCAACCGAGTCACCGTTTTCTGTAACATTAACATTTCTGGATTTCATTTTTGGATTCATCATTACACTCGAACCCTCACCTGCAGAAAATATGAACGCACGAACATGATAATTCAATAGATGAACATAATTAGTCGTTGCAAATGAAATAATCATTCATTTTTAGATTTTTGATCCGAAAGTGAAAAGCAAACATAATTAGTCCTGCTAAATTAAAAATAAATTTAACAGGATTCATCAACAAACACAAACACAGAGAAGAGGGAGACGGACCGTACCTGCAATGGCGAGAAGGAGGAAGATCGCCTGCGCCGGAGCAACGTGAATAGACGAGAGGAGGATTGAACAGCCGGCAGAAGCGGCAGAGCCAATGGGGCGATGTATACAGGGAAGGATTGAGAAACGAAGGGGGAGAGTGTTTTGTCGACAGGTTTCTATTTGACGGCTAGTTTCGTAATTTCACTAATCTTTTTATTTCTAGAGTAAATTACTATTTTCGTCCCTGTCTTTTGTGAATAATTTCAATTTTCATACCTGGGGTTTAAAAATTGAGATTTTCATGCCTATGATTTGTAATTTATTGTTATTTTCGTTTTTAGACTAATTTTTTTTAAAATACCAGAGATCAAAATAGTAAAAAATTATAAATCATAGGAACTGAAACAACAATAAATTATAAATCATCACAAAGATAAAATAGAAAAATGATTTACAAACTATAAATACGAAAACCATAATTTTCAAACCACAAGGATGATAATCATTAATTTTAACAAACCAAAGGGACTAAAAGTGTAATTTACTCTTATTTCTAACGGAATAATTTGGAGTAAAATACGTATTACCTATATTAAATAATTTGACAAAAATTCTTAAAAACCATTTTTTATACATGAAGTATTGTATATTGATGTATTATTTAAAATTCAAGATTACAAGTAAATTATGTATAAGTACAACTTATTAAAGTTTCATGTTTGAATTCGTGTAACTAACTGCGGATAAACATAATCAAATATAAGAATAAACATCTTATTTTAAAATATAAAAAATCTAAAATATAATTAGGATAATTATTGAGTTCTAATAGAATCATTATCTTTATAAAAAATTTATTATTTAGACAAAAATAAATTACTTAACTATTTGATTTAAATTAAATTTAATAAAAAATGAATTAAATAAATTATATAAAAAATAAGAACTTTTAAATAGTTAATTTGATATTAATATCGATATATTTAAAAAAATAAAATTATGATGCCTTCAAATTTATTTTTATTTAAAAGTAAAAAAATTATGTTTTCCAAAACTACATAAACCGTATTATATCAACAAAAACAAAAAATAAAAAGAAATATTAAAATAAATATATATCTCACTGCATTGCGCGATTACCTTCTAATATAGTTATAATTTGTCAAAAACATGCTTTAGTCCATGTAGTTTTCTATCTCTATGGTCTATAATTTATTGTTATTTTTATTTATGAGACCAACTCATGTCTTTAAGTAAAGGACAAAAATAATAATAAATTATAATTTTAAAGGATGAAAATAGTAATTTCAATAGTAGATGGACTAATATAGCAATTTCTAACAAATCATATGGACTTAAACATAATTTTGTTATCTATTTGCCATTGTATATGTTTATTTCTTTATATTAGTTAGGAGTTGTTTGCTTGTCTCTTAATAATTCTATTAAAAGATAATATTTGAATCGTTAAAAGGTAAATTTTATTTGATAAACAAAAAGTATGCATTTTGATGGTTCTAAAACCCGTTGAATGATTTTGTATCATGGGTCTTTCTTAACCATTCAACACCCTGATTCCATTGTAAACAATTACCGAACAATTATATTTCTTTTTGTACTATGTCATGAGAGTCTCTTAATCGTTCTGATCACTTAATCGTTTTGCACCAAACCATTCAACAATTGTCAAACAACCTCTTAATTTAAAAGTTCACTTTCAAAAAATACATATCTACTATCTGATTTCTACTTTTAATTATGAGTTGAAATTTTTTCTGTTATTAGAAATAAAATTATTATTTAATTAATTAAAAATATAATTAAATATTTCTTAGACAATATTAATTTTTTAATATAGGCATTTGTTTTAAAACTTGCTCTTTTAGAATTTAAATATTTTTATTGTAGATATTTGAAAAATTAGGGGCCGTTTACTGGTAAGTGCTTATTGGGTAATTTTCCTTACCGGATTAGATGACAAGGATCAAAAATCTTACCCGGTAAGAGCAACGATGAAGATGAAAAGTCTTACTCGGTAAGTGAGAGTGATAACTCTTACCTGGGTAAACGTTTATCGGGTAAATTATTGCATACAATACCATTTTGATGTAATACAATTTTACCGAATAAAATAAATTATAATATTGACTTCTAATAATAAATACTTACCGGATTAAAATTTAGGTAAAGAAACCCTTATTATTTTTAATGTCATGATCATAAGACTATCTAAGATGGAATCAACAAAGACTACTACAAATTTCTCCGCAATAAACATTGTTTCTTACACCAAATTTGGTGTAATTATTAATTTAATAATACATGAAAAGTTTGATGTAATAATATTTAATTACACTATTTTTGAAAATTACAAATTAAGGTGACGTTTGTTTTCTAAGAGATGCTAAAGTCTGATTTCGCTTCTGATTTATAAGAAGTGGTACTGAAATCTGAAATATGGATCAGTCAGACTGTTTGTTTTTACGTCTAAAGTTTGAAATCTGAATTAGTCGAACTTTTTTGTTTTTGTAAACGACAAAAGTCTGGAGTTTGAAATCTTAATGACTAACCCTAATTCAGAGTTATCTTTATACCACAAAGCAAAGGGACAAAAATGGCAGAAATCCATCGACATAATTCATACCACAAACAGAAACAGAAGCAAAATTAAAGGTAAACTATGATAAACATGAACATACAAGTTTGGAAAAGAATTTAACAGATACATGAAAGGAATAAAAAGTAGTCTAGACCCACAAAACCCACAGGGAAAAACCAGAAAACAGGGACAAAAACAATGCCGAAATTTGGACGAAAACCATGCCAAAGGAATCTGGAGGGGACAAAGTCATACCACAGGAATCTAGAGTTTTTATTTTTATCACAGAAATCCATAAATCTGGAGAGGACGAAATACCTTGAAGATTCACAATTCGAGTCGATTTTGGTTTGATTTCCACTCGATCTGGGTTTGATTTGGACGATGAGGCGATGGAGTTGTGGTAGATGTAATAAGGAAATAAGAGAGAATTAAGATATTAGGTTATCTCTATTTTGTCCATACCTTGTTAAGTGTTAAGAGCCTCTAAAATAAAATAAAACAAAAACAAACAGTCTGAATGTTAAAATGTCTGATCGAATCAAACATAAAAGATAATTAAGAGCTGAAATGACAAAACCAAACAAGGCTTTAGTCTCTTGATTTGGACATTTACCTTATACTTGTTTAATAAGGAGTAAAGTCCAATTTTGATCCTTAATGTTTATCACTTTCAACGGATATCGTCCTTAAACTTATAAACTCGGATCTGGTCCCTCAAATTTGTTATTTTGATAACGGATTTCGTCCCTCCCTCTAACCGCCGTTAACTTTTTCTGTTAAATCCAGTTAATGAGGGGCATCTTAGTCAAATTACCTCTCTTTTTTTAGATAAATAAACACTCGTAAAATTACGTCACTAGAATCAAAGATTCAAGTCTTGATCTTCCTTTTTCAATCTCACTTCTTTGTCTTAGTCTCCACCGCGGCCCTCTTCTTGTAGTGCGATTCCACCTAATCCCAATTCAATATCAATACAACCGTTTTCCATCATCTATTCATCCAATCTTATCTCTCCTTGACGTATTTATTGCGTACATATTCAAAAATTTAGTTGTAGAGTCCCAAATCCACAGCTGAGGTCAGCATCCACCGCCTCCATTCACCATTGTGGCAAGGAGGCGGTTTTTGATGCAACCGCTTTTTACCATTCTTCTTATTACTTCAATTATATTGAAGTGTGCGATATCGTCTTCCTAAGTCAACACTAAACCCTAAATTCTAAATCAAACCTTGAATCAAAATCAAAACCTAAATCAAACTAAAATCGAGTTTGGGGTGTACACACAGATCTACAAACACCAAAGAAGACAGAGATGTCGGTGGTAGTTTTCATTTTTTTTTCTCTAACTTTTCTTTAGGTTTAAGTTTTAATGGTACCATAAATCATTAAAAATGCATTTGTACAAAGAGATTCTCAAATGAATTTATGATTTTGTATAATAAATCTATTTTATCAAGTTTAATCTCATGGTTTTTATCTTGATTTTAAGTTATGTTCAAGATCAGTATCTAACAAAAGAAAAAGGAGAAAAATGTTAAAATCAAAGAAAATATCAAAAAATGTTTAAAATGACTAAAATAACTCTCATTTTATTGGATTAAAAGCAAAAAAAGTTAATGACTGTTAGAAGGAGCGACCAAAACCGTTGTGAAATGACAAATGTAAGGGATCAAATCCGAGTTTTCAAAGCTTATGAACGAGATCCGTTGAAAGTGACATGTCACACCCTGCTAAAGCGGAAACACGAGGTATGGCAGGTAAAGTCTCATAGCAATAGAGTATAAATAACACCACCATACATTTAAAATTTAATTACATCATTATCCAAATTTTACAATTCCAAACGACAAATTTGTAAATTAAACAAAAAGAAATTCGAAGGTGATGGATGAAACGCAACTTCTTTTAAATGCCACCATGTGACTTTCTTACCCCTGAAAAGCATGGAACAAAAATGAGTCAACTACAAAGAGTTGGTGAGCTCACGAGTTTTCATATGCATAAAACATTTCAATGCATAAACCAAATAATTGAAAACTTATGCGAATCCTTTGCACTTAATAAATGTAAATCTTTCACGATGTAAAACTTGAGACGCTACTGAGCCTTACCTGACCAACTTGCCCTATTAATTTATGAACAACCATAGGTAGCCCGTACACTACTTAGGTCCCACAGTTCGTAGAAGTACTAATTCAGCGGTGGTCCAAATTCCACATGATTAGACAAGAAAACATAGGTAATGTGCACCCCTTTCTGGGTGGGACTGTCAACACAATAACGACTATCCACAATACCACGGCCCGGGGATGTACCCGAGTTAAAAAGTAGCGTTTACGGACGGAGACTTTTATTTGGAAAAATATACTCCCAAGCACATCAATTTAGCATTTATTCCAAGTGCAATATCAGCTGACAAAACAAAACATAGTAAACCCGACTAAGCAGTTCCTTAGTCCAGAGGTTGTAAACAAATAAACATGCATAAT